TAGCAGGATTGATGAGTTCCATTGAAAATGAGGCCTGTAAATTAGTGATGTTCCCATCAAATCCCTGAACTAGAGGGTGGTTTTTTAGACCTTCTCTCATAATACAACTAGAATTACAGCAAGCCTGTCCAGAATAAATAAACTTAAGTGGAAACTTTCTGTGTTGGTAAATTGCTTTTTTTTTTTTAAATAAGTCTTCAAAGAAGCCTTCATATTTCACGCAATTCTTGAAGTTATGAAGAGTCATTTCGCTGCTTTTCATAACCCGCATGTATTCCAACTGTCGTACCGTATAAAATTGGTGCCAACAACATTGCTGACAGAGCGACAGTTGTTGGTTTGTTGAAGAAAGTGACGCATGGAACAACTAGTGAAAAAGTAACATTTCAAGACTCAAGCTCGTTATTTGTCAATTGGGCGCCCATTAGTTTTGATGAAGATGTGATGTTTTGAGATAATTAAATTAGATAAAAAACAGAAGAAAAAAGAATTAAAGAAATGAGTCTCTGTTAATCCTTTATTAAAGTTATGGAGAGAAGGTCATCGCAAAACATCTGGGAGATTGAATCTGGTAAAGAATAGGTAGTGGCTTGTTTCTATCTTCTGAAACATGGCAATTAGAATTATATGGTCTCAAGTCAATCAATATTTTATCATATTGATTGGCCCGAATTATTAGGTGAAAATTTCTCATTTGCTGATACTTCAGTAACAGATTAAAGAGAGTCATAACAACCAATAATAATATAATCCCCAATATATAATCTGTAACAAGATTATACTGGTAATATGAGAGTACCACTCGAATATTATAATTTAACCATATTGAAGGTCATTCTATACGATCTTTATTGGAGGAAATACGACAGAAGACATGAAGCCTTTTATCAGTTTTGAAAAAAATACCCTTTTTTTTTTTGAACAACGCCATGTAACTTTTACAGCCAAGTCAGCCTTCTTTATGTCTATGTCGTGGTTTAATCAAAATAAATGACCAAGCCCTCATGATCTGATAGTTATTGAATGTAAAGAATAAGGAATAGCGTACCGGTTATGATTTATTCAAAAAAACATTCAAACGCCCACCAGAGGATGGTTACTGATCTTTAATGAACGGGCGAATGATTCAGACTTTAATTATTCTAGGTAAAATAAAATAGAAGCCGACAGGACTGACTATGTTACGAAAGATATAGAAATATAATGGTTTAATAATGTGTCCCGGAATATAACATAGCAGTGATGATTTTATTCTTTTTATTCATAATTTAATTTAACTGACTGATAACAACTATGGGCTAAATTAGAGGAAAGGATCATAAAACCCGACGGATTCCCAGTATGTTAACAGTTTGATAAACGAGCTTGCATCGACAATAGGGGTCTTCTTAATATTTGGAATTAGGGAAGCTGTCTTTCTAGTTTCCCAAATAGGCATTTTAAATGACTCGTTGAAATTCTGCTCGTAGTAATTTAACAATGTATATGCTGGATTATCGTTATTTTTATGTAATTCTTCAATCCATTCGGAGGGTGTGACTGTATCAAACGACATGCCTGCTTCTTTTAAAAATTGAAGTATATTATTCCATGGTATTGTGCGAGTATTGACAATGTGATAGACAGACTGATTTGTATTGGCTGCTAAATCAGCAGTGCGAAGCATGATGTCAGTAATTGATGTAGCAGCATGATCAACGGGAATCCAATCTATGACTACGTCTAAAACTGGCATTTTATGCATCACAGATCCACCGCCTATAAACATCAAAGGATATTGCTCAGATGTATTCCAAATACCATTGATGGAGTCACCACAAACTTGGCCAAGTCGCTCAATATAGCAAGGAAAGTTTTTTTCTTTAATCAGGAAGCCCAATAAAACTTCAACAACAAATTTTGAATGTGCATATCCCATTGGCATACACACGTGAGAATCCAAAGGTAGATGGTCTTCAGGCACAGCATCACCGTAGTTTGCACTTGCAGAAACACTTGATACAAAATGCATATGCATTGGATTTACTTGATTGAAAGCAAATTTTAAAAGATTGTAGAAAGGAGCAATACATTCTTTGTTGTAATGTTCGATTGACATGTTAAAATCCAGTAGCCAGGCGCAGTGTTGTACGATAGTAACTTCCTGTTTAAGTTTATAGTATTTATCTTTGCCAAATCCAAGAAACGTGTCATTGAAGTTCATAGGTAAAACTTCTAAACGACCGGTCATTAAGAGAGACGTATCTAACGATCGATCTTTGAAAGATTTGAAGAGTCGATCCATTAGGATATCTTTTTCGCCACGGATTATAGCATATACTTTTTTAACAGAGCTGTCTTGTAATAAATTACGCAGCATAAAAGAGCCAAGAGATCCAGTAGCTCCAGTCAACATTATGACCTTGTTGCTTTTATTACTGTATATACCGTTTGCAATAGGGAAATCAATGCTTGCTTTCTTGATATATTCATTTGCCAGATCCTGTGTCTGTCGATAACGCATTTCGATCAAGCATGCGGTATCCTCATTGACCCCGCTCAATAAATATTTAGATAAGGATTGTATGGTTGGAAATTGAAAGACAAGATTTTGAGGAACATCGCCGAAATACTCGCTGATTCGGTTACACAGCTGGACCGAAGTGAGGGAATTCAGACCGTAATCAAACATGGATTTATTGCAGTCTTTAAAGTATGACTCCGGAAGGCAAAGCACCTCAGCAAGAGAATTTGTAAGAAACCCTTCTGCTTTTTCCTTAGTCCAGGTGGTTGAAATTTTGCTATTGGCTGTACTTCGGGATGAGCCTTCCATAAACTCCTTGTAAAGCCCTTCAACAATCTCAATATATTCAGCTTCAGCTTGTTTACGTACAACAGTTCCTTTATCTGTAGAAGGTAATGTCTTGTTGAAAGGCAAAATTTTGATCATTTGTGGGAGAATAGTACTGTGGCTTGGACATTCTTTATTGGCATCTTTGACAGCAGCGTGAACAATAGAAATTATTTCTTCAGGTCCGTAACAAATTGCGTAATCCATATTAATTTCAATAAGGGCAGCGGTGGCAAGACGATTTTCTCCGAGAACTACTACTTGCTTGACCAAAGAGCATTGTCTGATAGTTGACTCCATTGGAATAGGACTAGTTTTTTCGCCATTCTGCATTGTCAAGATATCATCACGTCGTCCGACGTAGCAATAATACCCTGGATAATTTGGGTCCTCTATAAAAAGATCGTTTGAACTATAGCCCCCATCAGGGCGGTTGCAAACATTAGTGGCTAGAGTTGGACAACCAGCGCGAATGTAAAGGTGCTTTTTATCAGGAAATGACTGATCATCTGTTTCGAGTTGAGCATAAGCGGGAGCAGTTGGATCAATTTGATAAGGTGCTAGCGAGTTCCAGTTATCACTCAGAGGATTTACATCAGAGGTCATAAAGATACCCATTTCAGTGGAGCCATATAAGTTTCTGATATTCATATGTTTATGAAGCCATTCGCCAGTCTCTTTTTTGAATGGGGCCCCGCCGAATAAAGCGAGTTTAAGTCGACGAATATTAGCGTAATTTTTGGTTTCCTTTACGTGATGGACCATTTCCGCATAAATAATAGGGGGAGCACACATAAGAGTACATGTATTATATTCGAGAGCAAACTGGATCTCATTTTGTGAGACTGGAAGCTTTTCCAAAAAGACAATTTTTCCACCAAAGGTACTCATAGTAAAAACCGAAAATAATCCAAAGGTATGAAAGCTAAATTAAAGAAAAGCATCATTAGGCAAGTTCAATTATTAAAAAAAAAAAACTTACATTGGAACACAGCTGAGACAAGTATCTGTTTCATCCAATTCACCCAATTTACTAGTGATAATATCCAGCTTATAGTAGTTGAATAAATTGAAAAGGTATTGATTGCTGAAATATAAAGGTTTAGGGAGCGATGTAGATCCAGAACTATGAAGGATTAAGACGGATTTTTTAATATCTTCCTCCGTAAAATTCTGATTCATCAACACCTCTTGATCGGGGTTCAAAGGTTCCTCAACCAACTTATCAATGTCCATAGATTCGATTACAAGAACCTTGATATCCGGGACTTCTTCAGCGATGCAATTGACCTTAGTTTGATATTTGCTGTTGGCAATCAGTAGCTTTGATTTTGTTTTCTCTAACAAGTTAATGACCGCATTGTTTGAATTACGAGGAGAAATTAACATCAGCGTGACACGCAACTTCATTGCAGCCAGAATTACTATCAGATAATCCACGCTGTGGTCACCAATAAAAGAAACAACATCTATGCCATGAAGATCTTTATGCCATTTGCAAGCAAGATTTGTCGATAGCCTATCAACAGTAGAATATGTTAAAGTCTTGTATTGGCTCTTGGAGTAATAAATAGCAAAAGGCAGGTTTGCGTAAACTTCGGATTGGACATTCATAAAATTGATAAAGGCTTTAAAATGATTGGTTACTGATTGACCATTTGCAAAGCTAACAGTAGGAGGAATATTAGACGATACCATTCTGATGAAAAAGTGATTGAATAAAGTTCTGGGAAAAAATAAAGTTGAGGCATGTAAATGCAAATTTAACTTGCTTTTATATTTTTAAGGGACTCACCATATTTAAACGATTTACCGAACTTACGAGTTTTAAGAGTGGTTTTTGGCGTATTCTGGGTCTTTACTGCTAACAAAATTAGAGAAATAATTCCAATCCCTCTAGTTTCTTGTATACAACGTATCTATGATCAAAACTTGGGTTTCATCGGCTCAATAAAACTTAATTGCTCAACTTAAGCAGCTATGTTTATCATAGATCGTGAACAATATAGATGTATTTATTGTACCCAAGGTTGTGTGAGGCTAGTCAAAAGTGAGTTTGTGAAACAATCATCATAAACTTATGACGGAAAACCTTAGTCATGTTTAAATATTAAAATTACTATCTCTATGTATTGTGCGTCAGCATGCACGATTGTATTTTATGTGATTGAGTGTTTATCCGATGCAAAGATACCTATCCCCTTATAACTTGAAACATATGACTTTCGATAGGATCATCTCATTGCATTAATGAAGTACTTTTATTTGGTAAGAGATACGTACGTTACATTTTTAATTATTATAGAGAGTGAAGACGATGTATACGTTGGAGTGACTCGCGTGATTTAGATTACGTAAGGTTTGGGCTCTTGGAACGGAGCTTTTGAGGCCTTAACGATTTTAAAATGCCTCTGCATGTTCTTAAGTGTTTTATAATCAAACATTTTAGTCCACTCTATTTTCTGTGGAGGACAGCTACCTGCATGATTAGAGCATTGTTTGTAAAACATTTCTTCGAAGCTTTTACCACAAAATAAATGATGAAGAAATCTTTACGCTAAATTGTTCGCAGGTTCCCAACTAACGTCGTATAATAGATTTCTATTTATTATCGCGTATCGACCGATTCTATTATGGAAAAGATTCCTATAGGCTCTTATGATCACCCGTCGTCGATAAAAAGGAATTCAATGTCAATAGCTTGGAACAATGGGTAATTGAAAAATATATCCATACAATCAGATTAAAAGTGGAATAAAGAATATAACTGCAGACACCAAAAATCTTCTAAAGCGTGTTATCTAATGAATATAGCATCATGTTTTTGGTAGAGAGTACCGAATTGATTGCTATAAAGACACTTGATTATGGTACCTTGTAGCTGTCATTATTTCAAATGGAATATTGTTATGTGCTCGATATGATCTCGGTATCCATATCAACACAAACACTATCGAGGTTACACGCTTTTAAAGCTTCAAATTTGATTCAATGAATATTCGGTAGCCATGCTTCTTAAAATCACCGATGATACTGTAAGAAAAAAAAAGTCCTGTTAAGACTGCAAAATCGTCCTTGAATGTTTAAGCATTAGTATACAAATCATTGGTTGCGGCCAAATGTTATTTCGCCTTTCACAGTAGAAAAGTAAAAAACACCAAGGTTCAAAGATAAAAAAGAGCAGCTCAAACGCGTACCTTTTTCAAGCCCCCGGAATGGGGAGTTTGTAAACCCGTCAAAAAGAAATGTGTACAAAGCCGCAAAATTGGTACCATGAGTAAGTGGATAAATCAGCCGAATTTGGACATTTTTTATGGAACAAACATTACTGAGTTTGTAATTTTTAAAGTCGAAAAAAAAAAAAGCTTATTGTAAATTCTATTGACAACAATAGCGCCTCGGCAAGTACGGAAGACAAAAGGATAGTCAGATTGTTTCACGACGGAATCACGGGACTATCAACATTCACTCTTTTATAGAATGAAAAGACCTGTTCATTACGGGCTTCACATGAAAATAATGGGATCTTCCAATAAATAAATAAACTTGTGCGACTGGTTGTAGTATATAACAATTGTTATTGTTTCATGAAATCCTTTCTCTTTTTCTTTTTCTCTTTTCGTTTTATAGAAATGGACAAGAGAAACTTACCAGACCGTTACTACACACCACAGCCACAGAAGAAACCTGAAGCACAAATTCATGCTGAAGGTAAAATTGAGGAAAAAAAAAAAAAAGGAAAAAAATGAAACATTGCAAACAAACATAAACGATTTTTTTTTCTCTCTAGCATATCAACCAACACCAAGACCCGAATCTGTTTACCTGAACGAAAATTCTAGAGTATCAAAGAACGAGTCGTGCTGTGTTTCATGGTAACTAATACATAAGCTGAAATAAATCAAAATGCTGACGCAAGTAAGTAGTTTATTAGCGTGCTTTCTGTGTTTTGCAGTCAAAGGAGAAAGCAATCCACCAGCGGATAGCAAGCAATAATTAGAAATAAATGAAAATAATCAGAGACCCATATCTTTTAATTCTTGAACAATCTTTTCCATGGATTTCTTTTCTTCTTGTTTTTTCTTTTTGTGAATTATACGACAAGATAAGACGGGAATACGAGAGGGGCGTTTGTTATGAGATCTTCTTTTACAATGCAATAATAGGCCATTTAATTTTCTGGCATGTAGTTCCGAACTAGTGTCGCTGGAACTTATCGGTGTACGCATCTTGGCAGATAACCCGCTAGAAAAGATACTTTCCAAATGACTGGCTTCTTGTGGAGAAGAAGGTGGCACTGTCATCATTTCGTCATAGGGGATCAAGTTCCAGTTGTTATTGTCTTGAATCATTACTGAATCCATCCTATCACTGAAAAATATTAAATGTAACAAATATAAAAAAAAAAGGAAACAAAAAAAAAAATGTGCGTGAGTTTTTTTTTTTTTAAACAGAAAATAAACCCCCGCCCTCACGTGGCGCTAACTAGCGACGTCATGTTTCCCTAGAGGCAAAAGGAAATTGCTTTCCTTACATGCTGTCACGTAGTTTAAACTGCTTCTCAACCTTAAGTTTCTACTTTACCAAAGCATATCTTAATAAAACCAATGTGGAATGTAGTCCCAAGATGCTCAAGAAATCCTTTATTAGTTACTTTTTACAAAATAACAAGCCTGTCTCGGTGTAAGATTAGCCTGCATAAAGAAGCCAGTTTTCAAAAAATGAAAAAATAGTATAGTATATTGGGGACTTTTATTAAGTGTAATGTTCATTTACATGATGATTGACCGCCATATCATCACCTTCAATCATCTTTTGACAAACTGGGCATTCTACACGACGGACTTGCGTTCCCTTCAGTAAAGTGGTTGCATCGACTGGTGCGTGCTTGGGATGTTGAGGCTGAAACATCGAATTATTGTTGGTGGGATTGGTGGTGGTGGTGGTCTGGCCAAAGTTGGCAGGAATGTAAAAATTATTGTTGGGTGTATTTCCGTATTGAGGTTGTCCCATCCCACCATTGCTTAAACCGCCATTATTATATCCACCATTGTTGTACTGTCCACCAGGAGTAGCACTTCCAGTACCATATAATCCACCTCCGCCACCGTTTAACCCTGCACTGCCCAACCCACCATTTAACCCTCCACTACCTAATCCACCGTTAAATCCGCCACTGTTGTATCCTCCTCCACTACCGAGTCCGCCGTTATTAAGCCCGCCAGTGTTAAATCCTCCATTATTAAACCCTCCATTATCCAAACTTCCAGTACCATACTGTTGTTGTTGTGATTGTGGGTAGCCCACTGGGGACTGATAAGATTGATATGTATTTCCGGTAGGAGTATTTGTATTCGTATAGGGAGATGCAATCTGCTGTTGCTGTTGTTGATAAGGAGGCGAAGAAAATGAATTTTGATTAAGAGAGGGGTACGATGTATTTTGTGGTTGAAGAGGAGAATAAGTATTGGTCGTGGTTACAGCACCTGTTTGCCAAGGCTGCTGTTGTTGTTGTTGTGGTGGTGGTGGTACATATCCACCTGTATTTGGTAAAGGACTAAACCCTGATGTTTGTTGACCTACGAGAGGATAGCCGTTGTTTTGTGGTGGTTGATTATTTCTGAAAGGGTTATTAGGGGGTGCCAAACATTAAAAAAATCATTTCCTTAATTTTTAAAAAACATTCCCGGGAATTTTTCCCCAGCCAAATTCCCTAAACTTTGCGGGAACGATTTTTTGTGCCCGAGATTTTGCGGGCAAGAAAAAGTATTCCCGAGAAATCTCGGGAAAGAATACTCATTTTCTATTCGTTGTTGAGAAGGAAATATGACGTGAAAAAGTAACATTTTATTTATTTTATGATAATCTAAAAGCATCAAATCGCATCTGTGTTTGCATTATAAAGTTTTTCTAAGTTTTTAACTTACCTTTTTTCTCCTTAAATTTCTCTAAAACGTATAATCTAAAATGTCTGATCAAATAAACAGAAACACTGGTGGCGGTCCTTCCAACAACGATTCCGCAGATAAAAGCCTTGATAGAACCAAAACTACACCTGGTCAAATTAAGGCTATGATTGGTTTCTTTGAGAGTAATCAAGACCTTTTTAAGATATATCTTGGTGGACAAAAGTCATCCGCTCCTTCAGCTGGTAGTCAGATAAAAAAAAGAGAGATCATTGAGAGATTGTTTCAGCAACTTCTGGCAGATAAAGTAATTCCGTCTTCCTGGAATTTCAAATCGGTTGGAAAACGTTTTGAACGCCAACTCGCAAAGTATCGCGATGTAGAAAGAGATATGAACTCTACCGGTTCTGGCTTGACTGCAGATGACATTAAACGTGGACTGACCTCCATCGAGATCAAGTGTGAACATTTGTGTGTTGGATTTTCTCGTTTGGCTTCTCTGCATGGTGTTAGACCAAACATAACTCCTTATTGTGTGGCTTTCCATGGTGCCCCTGGTGGTACCGAGTACACATACTCTAACAGAGTAAGGCCATCATTAGCTGCAATTGAGGCACAAACGTTTGCAGTTTTTGGTGGTCAACAAGAGGCGATTGAAGAGGTCAGTCGATTGTTGGTTGGAAGTGATGCAGCTGAATCTTCAACAAGATCATCTGCTTCTCTTTCCTCTGGTGCTCCTTTGGCTGCTGGTGCTCCTTTGGCTGCTGGTGCTCCTTTGGCTGCTGGTGCTCCTTTGGCTGCTGGTGCTCCTTTGGCTGCTGGTGCTTCTCTTTCCTCTGGTGCTCCTTTGGCTGCTGGTGCTTCTCTTTCCTCTGGTGCTCCTTTGGCTGCTGGTGCTTCTCTTTCCTCTGGTGCTCCTTTGGCTGCTAGGTCTTTGTCTGTTGCACCTGTGTCTACTGAGCGTTCTTCCTCTTTCCGTTTTTCTTCTGTTGGGCCATTCTCAAACGAACCTCTCTCTTTCCCTCGTCCTGCTTTTGGTGAAGCTTTGTCTGGCCAGCCGTCATCTGTAGAAGTACCAGCTACCAATGTTGCTTCTTCTCCTTTGTTGGTTCCATCTAATACCCAGCCATCAAGTCGCACACCATTATTTGAATCATCATCAGAGAATAATTTGTTCGATTCCTTTTCTTTTGATGATGGTGGAGATTTCGATGATGCTGGGTCGTATCATGCTGTGGACCATGACAACGATGTCAACAGTGGTAGTGCTGCTCGTGCTGGTGGTGCTGGTGTTGCTGGTGGTGCTCGTGCTGGTGGTGGTGGTGGTCGTGCTGGTGGTGGTGGTGGTGCTGGTGGTGCTCGTGTTGCTGGTGTTCGTGGCGGTGCTGGTGCGGGTGCGGGTGCTGGTGTTGGTGGTCGTGGTCGTGGTCGTGGTCGTGCTCGTGGTCTTGCTCGTGGTCGTGGTCGTGGAGGTGTTAGTCGCGCTGGTACCGTTCAGCCTGAAATGCCAACAGCTGATCGCATCCGTGTTGATCCCGATCACGCCATGAGAAACAAGAGGATCAAAAGAGACTTTTCTTCTGAGTATCGCGAGGCTCAGTTGAGAAGGGACGAAGTATTGAGGGAAAATAGTCAGAGGGAGTTCGATTTGGGTATGTCCCAATTGCTTGTTACTTGTCTGACAACGAACGCCTTCAATACATCGTCATTTACGGAAATTACCAGACATCTGGCTGATTTTCGTAGATCTCTGAGGGATCCTGTCGATGATGATGATGTATATGATGATACAGAGTATCTTTACAATCTTGATAATGATGAAGATGAGCACGACGACGGTAATCCTTCAACAGATGTAGATTAATATTTTTTTCTTTTTAAATAAAGTTTTTTTTTTCCTCTTACAAATATATTTACATTCATTGTTCAGAAACCTTCACAGCAAGGACGCAATCCAATCCTTTCAACACAAATGCACATTATATCAACTCAGTTGGTTTATTCATTATCATATCCGAAATGTACTGCATAATCTGCTAAAACTACTTCAGCAACGGAATTCCTCCAAGTATTCAATATACGGCTGGAAACACTGTTGACGTTGTCAAATGACTCCAGCAACACCACGTCTAATCTCGACTGCCCGACGTCAACATCCTCATAAAAATCACCGTCAAAATTGTCATTTTCCAAGATCAAATAGTTGTGCAAAAGACCGCATACATGTACCAATTCATGTATTCTCATGATATCCTCCTCACAATTGATCTGAATCGGAATGTTCTTCAAGATTCTCCATTTTCCCTTTAATACACCAATGGTATTTTCAACAGCAACTCGGGCGGAAGAGTGAACCCTGTTGAAGTCTTCGCACTTCACCGAACTTACAACCTGGGGTCTTCTGTAAGGAGTAAGCACAAATGGATGAAGAGCATATCCGGAATCACCGAGAAGGTACTCATGGCTTGCAGCATCGCCACATGTGAAATACTTGGCTTCTCTATTAATCATGAAGCTAGCATGCTCTACACATGTGGCATCACACATCGATCCTGCTTGTCCTGATTGGAAACCCAAAATGATCTTTCGTTCATCACAAACAACCTGACAGTTCACAGAATAGAACCCCTTTCTATTGTAATAGGATTCGGGGCAGTCGGTAGGCTTTTGAGAAAGGCGAAAATGGGTGCCATCGATGTATCCAATACAATTACGAAAAAAGTGCTGCTTTTTGATGGCTTCAGCTGCTCTTTCTCTTTGTTCCTTGTTAGGCCAGCTCATCAAGTGTTTAAGGTTGTCGGTGATTGCCTTAAAACAGCGGTTGGTGTAGTCAGTGACAGAGCCTTTGCTGATTCCAAACAAAGTTGCAATCTGCTCAATGCTGTTACCAGTTCCATCGTGACTTAATCGTCTCAAGGTTACTGCAAGTTGAACGTGAACATCCCTTTGAGGAATGAAACTCTGGTTGTTGAAGACTGCGTGACCTTCAATCAAGCGAAGGAGCTTTAAGAACGAGTCCTTATTCATTCTGCAAATCTTAACAAACTCTTCGTCGTTCCACTCGAGGAAATACTCGCGATACTGGTCCAGTTTAGGAATGCCAGGTCCACTGTTGAGAACACGTTTCGTTTCTAATCCACTCAAGAGTTCGTGCATCTCTTCCGCTTCTTCTTCATTTTCAATGATAACATTGTGCTTAAGCAAAGACTTCATCTCGTTCAAAGTTTGTTGTCTAATAGATTGTTTGGGCATTTTAAAAGTTGAAAATAAAAGATAATATTTATGAAAAATGGTTTAAAGTGAAAAGGGGAAGCTAGAGCTGTATTTGGCTTATGACGAGTTTTCCCAGCCTAAAAAGATTCCCGGAACTTCGAAATAAAATTCCCGCGATTTTTGAAAAAATTTAATGTTTGGCACCCCCTATTGTCCATCTTTTTAAAAACGAAAAAATAAAAAAGTGTAAAAAAAAAAAGAAGAAAAGGAAGAAAAAAAGAAAAAAGTCTTGGTTTTACATTTTTTGAAGCAAGTCACCTGAAATAAAAATCTATAATTGCTTTTAGTGAAACGTACAACAGCTACGTCCTTTCGTACATGAAAGATATAAAAAAAACTACGTAATCGTCTCTTTATCTTTTTAGTTGCCGCTTTAAATGATAAACTGTTCCCGTTTATCAGCACAAAGAAAGATTACTTTTAACGTCTTCTAAAGAGCTTAGACTCATTTCTTTGTGTCAGTACAAAGGCACTAGATTTATGGTTACATGTCAGAGCTTTAAACATGCTCTGGGGAGTATAGGTGAACGTTTAAGGGAACAGCAAAAGAGGGCTTATTGATTGGTGTTATGATGTCAATAGACAATTTCTGCAAGGTAAACCTTATTTATTTAACTCGGATCCTTTTAAATCCGCCAAGAGCGATTGCAATATATGATCATGGCAAATAAATCAGTATAAGATCTTAGCTGTACTTAATTACAATTTAGAATGTAAGAAAATATATTAGAAGTAATTTGCTGGAAGTGAGAAAAAAAAAGAAAAAAAATATGCGTTGTGTAACCAAAGAAACACGGGAATAGTTTTTCAGGGAATACAGTGGTACACTTGAAGCAGCTTAGTCAAGTGAAAGAGGAACAAGCAGCTAATTCAGGGTCATTTAAGATTCGTGGCGTGAGGAGTTTTAGTAAAAAAAAAAAAAAAAAAAAAAGAAGAGAGTCATATTCGCAATAAACATTTCATTACTGGTAAATGTGCTGTTTCTATTGTAGCAAATTTTTTGATTACGAAATATTTTGTTCCTGGGTTGATTTTAAACATTGTCTTTGACTCTTTTAAGATAATCCGGAATGAATTTGAGCTATTTTTTTTTTTTTTTTTTTTTTTTTTTTGGCATTAAAATAATATAGTTAGTCTATCTTGTGCATTGTTACAGCATTGAATTTTGCCAATCAACTACATCCTAACAAGCATAACTGAGGTATCTTTTTTCATTTGGAATTTCAATGATTGTATAGACATAAAAGATTTCATTTTAGAGAAAACCGTATCGGTTACACATTTGTTTGATACGTATACACTTTCTCTTCAAATGGATTGACCGTTTAAAGTATGAGGTCCTCAGAACGGAATTATTCGTATGTAAGATTGAGCTGCTGCTCAGATGTTTGAAGCGATATCAATGTTTGTATAAGTGATAGCACAGCTAGTGCGCTTCTAGGACTGACTATTTGGAGATATGTATGACAATATGGGTAGTACAGACTGTATGGCGGAGAATACATGACATCAATGCGGGTGCTATTGTTGCACCCATTACATGCAGTGATAGAAGGACTGGACATATCAGTTAATTAATCATATTGTTCAAAAGACAAATATTTGGCGAACCATCAATGACTATTGGAAAAAATTTTAAAAAGAAAGGGAGAAAAAGAAAAGCAGCATATTAACAACAAACTGAGAGTTTCATTATTCACATTGGCAACTATTCTTGGTGGGTTAATAACTGAGGTAAAAGAACTAGATTCAGTGATAAATCATATTTGACACATCACTTGCTTTTACTTTCTATCACAATGGAAATTTTAACTGTCACATTTAGAAATTTAGCTTACGTCATTTTATGTTGTCCAATCATTACTCTTTGAAATCTGCCACTATAAAAATTTCATGGATCTTGCTTGCTAAGGACTCTTTATTCCACCTATTTAAAAAATTTAAAATGTCGTTTATCAAGTCTTTTAGTAATTTAGTCCTTACACGTTCTCTTTCAACAAGATCCTTACATCCCAAAAAGTTTGTCAGTAGTAAGTTTGTTCATTTTCTCCCCCGTCGTATCACTCAGAAAATATTAACGTGTTTTTATACTAGTCTTGGAAAACGTACCTATCAAACCTCGTAACCCTTGGCAGATTTATTTGCGTGAAAATATCAACAATTACAAGAATGAAAATGGTAAGGTTGAACTCAAGGTCGCCACCAGACTTATGGGAGATAAATGGAAGGCGTTGGATGAAACGGAAAAAGCTGTAAGTAAAAGGGTATGTTGGGAACTACGCGTTTGGTTTTATTAATTTGCATTATTACCAGAGATGTAAAAAGATTTACGAACAAGAGGTAGAAGCTCACAACATTAAAAAGAATGAAGCTTTGAAAAATGCCACTCCCCAACAATTTTTTGAAGAGAACAGATTAAGAAGAAAATACAAATTAAATTTGATTAAAGATCCAAGCCAACCCAAGCGTCCTATGAATAGTTTCATGTATTTCCTTAAACACCTCAGAGAAACCAAAGATCCTGTTATGAAGAGGGGCGATGTCAAAGAACAAGCTACAAGTGCTTCAGATTTATACAAAGCTCTAAGTGAAGCTGAAAAAGCGGTAAGGCATATTATAAATGATAAACAAGACAATGTGCTCATCTGTCTTCAAATGATAAAATAGCGCTATGTTGAACTGGCTAATCGTGCTAGTGAAAAGTACCAACAAGAAATCAAAGCATACAGAGAGTCAGCCATGTAAAGAAAAATTAATATTTATGCATTGTACACCATTGTTTCACTCAAAAGTAAAGCGATTTCATGGAAATTGCCATCAGGGAACACGTATTTTAAATTCAAACGTCAAGTAATAAAACATTACAGAATTTATTTTTAAATGTCAGTAACATCTTGTTGGATGTGGTACATTCAGTGGAAACAACTGCTACATAAGAATCACAGGACTGCTTTCATCCCTTTCCAATTTAAAAATTGAAGTAGTGAGCAAACCGTTTTATTTTTCTTTTTCTTTTAAAATGAATTTTTTGCTTCGGATATTACGCGTCGAGAGTAAACGAAGAAGACCGATTTTTTTTTCAGAGCGCAATTACCTAGCCTCGGTTAATTATGACGAAGAAATTGATACAGACGAAGACGACGATGTAGAACCGACAAAAGAAACCGTATCTAAAGACACCAACATCAATGAATAAAAGGGATGATACAAAAAATCAAAATTAAAAATAAGTTACAGCGTTTGCACTATAAATCCAGTCATACATCATATAGGTAGTATGTACCTGTAGCCATGATCCAAAGTGGACTGTTTACTACTTGACAGGAAAAGAGACAGGGGCATTTTCCTAACTCCCTGAAACGAGAAGCTTGAGTGCTTTAGTTTGGTCCATATTCCACGATTTACTTTTAGTGTGTAAACCTGAGTCTTTAAAGGGAAACAACATGAACAGATTCCCATAAATCAATTTGTGATTCTCTATCGTAGTAACCCTAAGAACACCCTGATGGTCGACTTCTTTCTTTTTTTCAGAAAGCGACCAAATTCCACATTCTTTTTTCGCAATAACAAAATGAAGTAAGCACGATAATTTTGTGTCTATATCCATGTCTAATTAGTACACAGTGTTGTGAAAGAAATCCAAAGAATTAATGAAAGAGAAATAACAAGTGGAACTTGGTCAGAATCGGCGTCTTGGCACGTACAGTACAAAGATACAGCTTGGATCTTTGCTGGTAATCTCCCGTTTGAATTAACAGAAGGTGATGTCGTTTGCATCTTTTCGCAGTAAGTCTCGATGTTTTACCCCCAAAAACCACAAATATTCTGACCACGCTCACACACAGATACGGTGAAATTATTCATATTGAACTTATACGTGATCACAAAACCGGTAAATCTAAAGGTTTTGCTTTTATCCAGTATGAAGATCAGCGTAGCACAGTCTTAGCCGTAGACAATTTGAATGGTGCAGACGCAAGTATTACTATTGGGTCCTCTTGCACATCAGCCTTTAACATTTTCTAGTAGGTTTTGGGACGTACTTTACGTGTTGATCATTCATTTGGACCTAAAAAGCAAAAAAAGAGAGAGGGGGAAGAAGAATCGGACGATGACCAGCCCAAGATGAATGTTGCTCCTGAATTAGTCGAAGGTTAGTTTTGAGCATTTGATTAAATTGTATTTGTCACATTATTCTGAACTTTTTTTTTTAGTGGTTGAAAAGGAAAAATCGAAACCAAAGCCCAAGCCTATCGATGTGGATGAAGAGGACCCTATGGCTGCTTACTTTAGAGATAAAAAGGAAAAGAAGTCGAAAAAGAAGAGTAGTAAGCATCATAAAAGCTCTAAAGAGGAAAGTCGTAGCCACCGTAAAAAAGTAGATCGCCTATTGGAAGGAGTAGAAGCAGATCACCCATTAAGAGAAGAAGCAGATCGCCCATTGGACGTAATAAAAGAAGTAGATCGCCTGTTGAAAGACGAAGAAGAAGTAGATCGCCTGTCGAAAGAAAAAGAAGTAGATCACCCGTCGAGAGAAAAAGAAGTAGTTCGCCTACTGAAAGAAGAAGAAGAAGTCGGTCGCCCTATGATAGTAGAAGAAATAGATCTCCTTTTGAGAGAAGAAGAAGTAGATCTCCTTATAGAAGAAGTAGATCCCCCTATAGCAGAAGTAGTGGATCTCATAACAGAAGAAGTAGATCTCCTGTGGAAAGAAAGAGCCGATTCGATGTTAAACCTTGATGTATTTTAAAAATAATTTATGAAAATAAAAGGAAAACCAGCTCTCATTTCAACTTTAAAAGTGGATCTGACTTTGTATAATGGTATGTTATGTCCCCACTTATTGATCAATGCTTAATATGTACAAATAAAGAATATCACTTATTACTGTTGCCAAACTTTCAAAAAACTGATATGAAGACTTTTTTATTTTTTAAAATTTGGGGGGTGGACAAATAATGAATTAAAAAGACATGATGAGAGCCACGGCTCTTTGAGGAATTCTGTCTTTTTCTTCAGCGTTTGCAGGTACGCTAATTGTAAACAATAAATCGGTTCTGTCAGAATTGAGATACACAGGTAATTCGACAATATTCTTGACTTCTTTTCTTTGATCTTTACGAATCCATCTAATAGCTGTCTTTGGCAATTTACTGCTTGGTTCAGATGTCAAACAGATTTCGTTATTATCCCATTGTCCACCTTCCATCTTTAAACCACGAATACGGTATCCTGCGGCATCTTGTTTAATTTCTCCAATATCAACATCCAATACGAGTTCTTCAAGAGACCATTTATAACGTTGAGCGGTAGCTTGTCTTGTAGCAGTAACATATGCCTCAGGTGTAAAGAGACTTCCGATAGCAATTTCAACTTGATCAAATGATGTTTCTTGAGAAAGAGCTTCTACTTGATCGAGACGTAACTTAAGATCAGCCAACCATGAGTTTAAAGACGCGCTACGGGGAACCTTGTATCTCTTCCAATGATCAGGAATAAGACCCTTATTTAACCAGTTCATCAATTGACGTAAATGATTCGTTTGCTTCAGTTCACCGACACACACCTTTTGTAATGAAATCAAATCTTCCTTAATGATACGTAACAGTTTACGAGCAATTTGGTTTTCACGCTCAAAGAATCTGAACAAAGGATCCATAATACCAGAGCTATCACGTTGCATCACCTTAATGTTAGCAGGCAAAAGACTCAACCAGTTAGTAATAGAAATATTCAAGGCACGCATCCAAGCAGGTTGTGCAGTAGTGGCGACTTGTTTACTTGCAGCACCAGCAGTCTCGGGTGTAAAGGCAGTTTCATCGTCATCACTCAAACTCTTCATTTTACGGACCTTAGACAACATCTTATTACCCTTGAGAGTCAAAAGAACACGTTCTGCATTAGAAGGCAACCCAAGCCATGTAGGAGGCTCACGATCGGGTAATTTGTTGACCCATTCCAAGAATTGTTCCATTTTGGTACCATCAGGTACAACGATTGACTTTTCATGTTCACCGCTACCCTTAACAAGTTGGAAATCAATATCGTAACATTCAGGCGTAAACAAGTTATTGACAAAGGAATCCAAAAGACGTTGATCATACTCGTTATCGATACGACCACCATAAATGGATTGCTTCAAAAGAGAACGAATAGCATCCCAAGGAATCTTTTCGGGTGAGATATTGGCTCGACCGCCGGATGCGGTATCTAACCATTTATCGATGGTATTAAATGCACAATCTTGATCAGAATCGTTGAATTCATAAACCTTAGTCCAACCAAGAGGCACATATCTCAAACGTTCTTGGACTACGGCATGAAGCCATGCTAACATGAAATAAAGACGAGCACGTTCAGTGGGTCCACGGGATAAACGAGAAGGAGGAATACTACGAAGAGATTCTTGAAGATTGGCCTTGATTCCTGGAGGAGGTTCGAACATCAAAATACGGGACATACGCAATAAATTGACAGGGACCTTTGGATTGGTTTCCATTGTCAAAAAGAGACGGAAGTTACGGTGAGGCTTCATACTATGCAATTTCTTTTCCAGTTGACCGAGCCAAGATGGTGCTAAATGAACATTCTTCAACATGACCCAATTACCTGTCTTGATGGCAGTAGAGATAGCTTGATCGGCTAACGCAAAACCTTCGGCAGAACCCATAGCTACAGAAGTACAACGCGTGTTGTTTTCAGCGACCAAATTATCAACACGGTAACTTGCATCATAACCAGGAACGGAACAGAAAGCTAAAGGAGTAGCACTGCCGACTTCTTCCATGACGATTTGTTGTAAATTCAGCTCACCAGAGTTCATAAACTCGCTATCAAAGATCTCAGTTGCAAAGATGGATGTGGCAGGTAATAATCGGTCGGATCTGAAACACTTGATGACCAACATTTTACGCAGAGAATCCAAAGCAGCTTAATAGGCAACAAAAGTGTTAATACAAAACAATCTACTAATCATTTTTTTTTTTTTTAAAAAAAAAAAAAAAAACTTACGGCTTCTTCCAGCACCTTCCCAACAAAGAGGGACAATAGTTTCGGGACTATCATGTTCGGCAAATGCTCTCCATTCATCTTCGTTCATAATTATATGTTCAATCATCTTGTTGAAGCAAGGAAGGGTTGAGAATTCCTTGATACGTTGAGAAGTTTCGTCAGAGATAAAGTTAGGCATGTTCATACCAGCAGCTGTCAAAGTAGAACCAACAACGGCATCACCACCGCTTAAGAGGAAATCGTATTCACTTTCATCCATATTTTCTTGAGTACCGCGGATACGAATTTGACAAAGCAAAACGGCGTACATTGTATAATCTTCATGTACCAAAGTACGAGAAGCACGCTTGTAGGCAGCAGAGAATAAGTCTCGAGATAAAATTTCCAAACGTTCGGTAGGATCTACAATACCCTTCAAATTAGGATTAGCATGAATAACATATTCAAAGATTTCATAGAAGAAATCTAAAGAGAATTGATAGAAATGGTTGACCAAATTGAGTTGCTCCATAGCGAAGAAAATAGAACTACAAGCATGAGCAAGAGGAGTGTAAATAGCAGTTGTTTGCTCGACTTCTTGCATGACAGTGTTCGTTTCATCAACCTTTCGAGTAATTTCTGCTGCTTCTTTCTTTAATGTTTCTAATGTATCAATGACCTTGTCATCGTCCAAGATATTACCCTTTGACTCATTCAAGGCTTGTAAGAGGGACTTTTCAAGATGACGCAATTTAAGCTGGAATTCACCCTGAAGCTTGATCAAATCTGTACGCTTTTGATCGACATCGGGACGTTCAGCCTTGAGCACCTTGTTCAAACATTGACTTTGCAAACTACCACGAGTAACAGTGAAATTAACAAATGTGACACGAGAACAGATATCGGGTGCAAAGTTGACTGAGGGATCACGAGTGGAAAGGAAGAGAGTAAAAGCAGGCGAGAAATCGATATCTTGACTACCCAAACGAATCAAAACACGACCACCAGTACGACGCAATTCCTTGTTAAGGACAGGGTTCAAAATGGGATCTAAATGTTCGACATCTTGAATCAAAATAGGATTACCGAAACGTAAAGCACTTTCAAGATTTTTGATAAATGAATCGTCCAAGAAACTAGTGACTGTAATCTTACGATCCTTATATTCGTTGATCAAAAAGTTTGTAGCTTGACCAGAAGGATCAATGATTAATGGGTATCTATCAAAACGCTTGAGCATGATGGCATTCTCGATACAAAGTTGATCAACAGGGAGTGAGTTCGCTTGCCAGGAAAGACGATCATCAGCAGTAGAGAGATATTCGGTGAGTGATACCTCATGTTTGAATTGGATATTAGCAGCCAAAAGATGATCCATCCATTTTTGAATTAGAATATCACGATATTGTTGATCAAAGTAACCGCCATAGGCCATAAAGGCAGCAGCCAAAAGAACGTCGCCAACAATAGTACCCATTTGACTTTCAAAGGCTTGACTAGCAGATTCCCAACGAGTCTTTTCAGAAGACAAAGAACTCAAAAGTGTGATACTACGATCGACCTTGAACTTGACACGTTCCATTTCGGACTTAATCAATTGAGTTTCACCAACAAGGGCTGCATATTCATCCTTATATCGACCGATACTTTTTTCGAGGCCAGCAATCATTTGCTCGATTTCAACGGCTTGATTCTTGGTATCATCTGAGCTTCTTTGCAATTGATTCAACTCTTCACGAAGAGGACCAACACGGTCTAAAATTTCAGAAAAGTTACATTGGGCAGTAACCCACTTGAAAAGAGGACCACATGCCTTAGAGGCACGATTAACGGCTTCATGTTCAAAGCTTGGGTTGTTGAGGAAATTTTCACGCATGTACTTTCGTAATTGCTTGGTGATTTGTAATTCAGTATTATAGTTGACAATACTTGAAATGAAGTCATCACGACGAATAATACTTTGGACATTCTTCCAGCTATCGATTTTATGGCCCAGCATGGTACAGACAGACTCCATGGTAAGTTTGACAGCTTCTGGAGGATTACTCATAGAGCGCACTTCGGTAAGATGTTGTCTCTTGATACTTCTGACACTGTTTTCAGCTTCCTTGACAGCAGGTTCGGCATTTGCCAAATCGTTATCAACAACGGTACGACGAGCTTCAATTTCCTTGTTTTGGATCTTCAAATTACTCTTGATCTTGTAAGAATCAGCCTTCTTTTGTTCGGCTTCCTTCTCATCCGCCAACATTTGTTTGATCTTTTCATTAGCCTGATATTCTTTCTTTTCAAGCTGGTTCTTTTTGATGGCAAGACTCTTTCTCAATTCTTCGACCTTGATCACAGTATCCTTCAACTTCTCTAAACCAACGTTAAGATGGCGTTGTTGTTCTTCCAAATCTTCACGCTTCTCATTGTATAAACGAACATAATGAGAAATGAAATCTAAGAAATGACGAGGAGTAGCATAGTTGTGGCGGCCTTGACGTTTACTGAGTTTAGCATTAATCTCGTAGAGAGATTGATGAACATAGACAAGGGCATTGACAACAGCTTGACGATGACTAGGAGGAATAGGCAAGTTACGGTAAGCAATAGGGAAGTTGAAAGAGGGGGAGAAGTTGGGTACATCCAGATCCAGGGTCTTTGTAAATTCAATACCGACTTGATAGAAAGCTTGATCGGGCCAATCACCAAACCAATCCAAAACACAACGATTGAATAAGGCAGGAGAAGTAGCAGCACGAGAAGCAAGACCACCTTCGGGAGGGTTCATAGTGAAAACAACATGCAAGTTACGCATAACCTGTTGGTTAAACCACTTGTATAATTCTTCATTGGAGTCAAGCATCAAACCGTCGCGTTGGGCACCTTCTTTACATGCAGTCATAAGAGCGGAGTACTCATCACCTTCAAAAAGGCCGGGAACTTCGGCGTTCGCTAAGAGTGTGTTCATACGTTCCAAGAAACCAGAATCCAATACGTTAGATTCGTCCATGATGAAACAGATCTTCTCGCCCTTGCAACCAGCACGGCGGAGCACAGTACGAAGATCGTCATCGAAATCAGCGCCAGTATACTTGTTATGAACCTTGATTTGGAAAACGCTCAAACCATTCATCCAAGCAACGAAACGAGATAAAGTAGTTTTACCGGAACCACTGACACCAATAAGCAAAAGATGGCCTTGAGGTTGTCTGAATACACGATCAATACGAAGAACATGTTCAAGTACATCGTTAAAGAGCACAAGAGCGACATCCAATTCTTCTTCGTAAAAGACCTTAAGACGAGCCTTTGCAAACTCACGCAATTGATCGCGCTTGACAGGAATATAATGCTTGGACAACCAATTAGAGAAAAGAATAGGACGTTCAAGAGCTTCTTCTTGGTTGAGAGCTGGGAAATGTTTCATGGCAATCGAGTCAATCATATCATCTGTCCACTTACGATCCTCATCATCGACCAAACGATCTTGGAAAAGACGCAAAGCTTCGTGAGCCCAAATACGTACTAATCCTTCGACAGTTAAAGTTTCCAAAGGTTTGATAGCTTCATAGATACCACGGACCCAACGTGTTAATTCACGAGGAGAGTAAATATAATGAGCTTGAATATCGGGTGTAAAACGCTTTTGGGAGGCCAAATAAAGTTCTACCATAGCCGCCGTAAGAGGTTCAGAATAACCACGCAAGTTGGGAACCACCTTAAGCATAGCACGAGTGAAAGTACTGTAAATCTGCATAAGAGAAAGTTGACCAGCATAATCGACCATGACCAAAGGAGCATGACGAAGGAAACGATGAGAAAGGGGAACACGGCCAGGATCAGTGGGAGGATTACAAGCACCAACAAATTGGATACGTTCCAAAGTGACCCAAGACTTGTCACTAGTTCTCCAGAAACCATTGTACTCGACCAATTGTCTGAGGAAAGAAATGACCCGTTGAGTGTTGTACTTATCAGTAGCGGGTAAATTGATTTCATCACAGAAAATAACGAGCCAGCGTCCAATCATGGTGGGAGACAAGATAACACCGTTAGGAGTCTTTCTGTATTCACAATGCTGTTCAAAGGTCTTGAGAATCAATTCAGGTGTAGTGGCACTAGAGAAATTGAGACCAGCGACTTCCATATCAGGGAGCTTACGGAGTGCACTGAAAAGAGTCATGGTCTTACCAGAACCAGGGGGACCACAAAGAATAAGAGGTTTATGCTCTGATAACCAAGAATACAACACTTCTTCGTGACGAATAGTGTCAACGGTAGGAATGATCATATCGGCATCAGCGACCTTGTGTGTTTCAATTTCGATAACAGGGACCTTAGATTCCCAAGGGACCCATTGACCAGTGTTTACTGCGATATCGTAATCAATGATGCTGGAATTATTGGCAGCAGGAGGTAACTCATAGGTAGTAACGCCACGAACAAATTCACCGAGAATTGCACGAACTTCAAGCTTACAATCACCGGAGAAACTCCAGATAGCAGAGTAAACAACACGCTTTGTGATATAACCTTCCAAATGGTCACCAGTCATGGGGAAATCTGAATGTTGAGAGTTATATTCAAGGACATTACGAACAGTCTTATTTAACAAAGAGAAGAATGTTGACAGGACACGGGTACTAGTAAAGTCCATGATATGTTCCAAAGTAGATGCATAATCCAAACACTTAGCGACTAAACAGTTCTCGTCAGAAAGATCAGGTGCCATGATAGCAGCAATTGCACGTTGGGTAGCAAGATTAGGTGAGATGGAAGCTCCACCATCATCAGTTGAAGGATTGCCATCGCCAGTACGACGAACAGCGGTAGGGCCATCTTCTTCGATTTCATCCATTGGAACGTTACGCAAAGTTTCTAGGTAGTTGGTGAAGACCATAGGCAAAGTAATAATATCTTCACTAAACCAAACCATACCACAACGAGAAACGGTAGCCAAAGTAGCATATTTCAAAGTCTCGACTTCGAACATAATACGAACATTGGGAGGCAAATTGAGACGTTCACCATTAGGCAATGTCAATAAGCGATTATCATCTAAGACGGAATTCAAATTCTCTACCCATTCAGGATCAACATCACCATCAAAAATAATCCAATGACGCTTTTGACTTTCACCACGGACATTATCGACAATCTTACGAAGGATATGTGTAAACAAACCATCAGTCCATTCACGGGTGGTTGAATCCAATGTACCATAAAGAGCATCCTTGGGGATAGCCTTAGGATCAATGTTGTAAGCAATACCTTCAACGCCTTCAACACGCTCAAGAGCAGTCAGGAGGGTCTTCCAGGCAGTGGATTTACCAGCACCGGAAGGACCTACCATCATCAGACCGTGATGAATATTTTGAATTTGATACAATTGAATGACCTTGTCCATCCAAGCTTCGCCAGCAACGAGACGACGTTCATCACAAACCTTACGTAACTCTTCCTTGAGACGATCCAAATTGACAGGTGAATAGTGAACACCGGGGAAGACATCAGCAAGCAAACTGGTCAAAAGAGGAATATCTTCGGCGACCAACTTGGGTTCAACTGTTTCACGAATACTGGAGATAAGCAATTGTTGTTCGGGAACTGGTTCTGAGATAGTGGTATATTCGGTGGCATCGGCTTTACCTTCTTCAATATCTGAACGAAGTAAAGTAAGACGATCACGCTTCAAATTACCAGCACTGACTAACACACTCTTCAAAGCACGTAAACCAAAATCATAATGAGATTGAGGAGAAAGTTGTTCAGCACACAGGTTAAACAGAGGAACGACCTTAGAAGCTAGAATTTCGGCTGTACGGAAACCTTGGGAATAAAGCATGACCTGGGCAATCAATTCACGATCAGGCTTTGTCATGGCCATACTTCTAAACAATTTCTTCAAATTATCAGGCAAATTGGAACGACCAGCATAACCAGGATTCATAGTAATAAAGATACCAGTGTCAGTATTAACACGAACATTACGTCCAACCAATTCAACTTCATGATTGGGGTTGGTTGTAGCCTCTTTAAGACCCAATTGAATAGTTTGGACTTGTTGAGAAACAGCTGACAAAATACGTTCTTCGAGACGATTGAACTCATCAAAACAGCCCCACGCACCTACTTGACAAAGACCAATGAAAATACGTCCCATAGCTTGGAAATCAAAGGTTTCATCACAACAAAAGACGAGCACGAAACGGCCAAGTTGAACACCCAAAGCTTTGACGGATTCTGTCTTACCGGTACCAGCAGGACCGAAAGGTGAACCACCAAGTTTTTGTTCGAGAGCCTGAGTCAAGGTTAAATAACAACGATCGGTTAAAGGAGTTTGAACAAGTCGATCAACAACACCAAGATACTCATAACCATAGAAGAATTGAGCATTGGCCATATTAATAGTCAAACGTTCGATAGGATTTTCAACGGCGTGGTTAAAGTAGTAACGCATTTGATAAAGCCAGTTGAAATCCTTCGCAGAAGAAATCTTGTCAACAGTTAACTGACGAGTAACATCACGTTGATGGACAAGCTCTGTGACAAGATGTTCACACTTTCTACGTTTGTTAACTTGTAAGTCCAACAAGACAGCATCAGCTAAAATGTTAAGGTTTCTTTCAACAAGCTCTACAGAACGTTGAAGAGGGGTTTGGTCACCAGTTCCAGCTTCATCGATGGTAGTTAAGGATTTGTCGACCGATTGGGTCCAGATAATTTGAGCAGCCAACACAACGAGCTGAGCAGGATAACGGTCAATCCATTCCATAAAGGCAGGAGAGCTCATTTCGTCGGCATTATATATGGCATCAAGTTCAGTAACAGCATCGTTTAAAAGCAATGCGAGTGACACGCGCATTTCATTTTCAAGAAGAGTCAACCAATCATTAATTTTGGGATTTTCTTTGATAGATACAGGAGTCTTGAACATAACCTCTTCACCTTCTTTGGACGCCATACCAGTAATAGCGGTTTGTTCTTCATCCAACAAGATGGTAGAAATACCGGCAAACATCTTTTTAAAATGCTTCTGGATACGCAAGATATCTTTACTGTTACCAATGATTTCAAGCAAATCTTCATCACCGACGAAATAGAAACGAGGGAAGGAAGAACGCTCACGTTCAAGATATTCACCAAGTGCCTTTTGGATCTTGCTTAATAATTCAGCGAGACGTTCCAAAGACTTTTGGATATTGGGAATATTGAGCACATCCATGACAAAAGGAGATTTATAGACCTTTTTCATGACAGTCAAAAACTCGGTATTGATACTTTGGAAACGAGATGTTTCGACAGGAAGCAAATGTTTGATGTCAACACTACCACTAAAAATACCCTCCAAGTAGACCCATTGACGTTGAACATCAATCCAGACATCAAATAAGACATGGACACGGTTCAACTTATCTTCCCAGGCAGCAGCATCTTCTTCGAACACCTTGTAATAAGGAGAGAGCTTCATGGCAGTCAATGAATTGATATGCTCACCTGACTTGGTGAATAAATCATCCCAGCCACGGATAAGTCTACAACGGTTTTGGTAATTAACGAGGTCCAAAACATAACCAGTCCAGGTTTCCTTGATTTGTTTTAAGAATTCTTCTAAAGCCATTTCACCTTGAGCTTGTAAAATTACATCCTTAATAACCAATTCATTACGTTTCAAGTCAAGATCCCATAAATGACCGATGGTCATCTCAGACAAAGTAAAACGACCTTCAATACGGAGAGATTTGAAGATTTGACGCCAATGACGTTCACGAAGAGCTTCGGACTTAAGATCACCTACAAGAGGATTGACTCGTAAAAGTTGACGGAGGGTATCCTGCATGAATTCATAAGCTGCGTATTGTCTCATACGATTAGGCATTTCCTTTGTGGAGTTGACAAGTTCGTCGATATGACCACGCACTTTACGAGGTACAACTGAAGACCAAGGAGTGTCACGAATTTCGTAAACTGATTGCCAGACACGAGCGAGAGATGTCCAAACGGACTTCAAATCACGGAGTTCTTCAAGAACAGGATCCAAGCGATCTTCAGAAGTTTGTTCCAAATCGAGTGCCTCCTTTGCACGACAAACCATGTCATATTCTTCTTTAAGACGTGTAACACGACCTTCGAAGATGGATAAAGTGTTGGTGGCGATATCAGGCTTAATATCACCTTGAACAGGTTTATTCTTTTCCCATTCGGCGCAGATATCACGAATCTTTTGCTCAACGACCTTATCTTCGGCTACAATCTTCATTTGTAAACCAGCTATTTGTTCTTGGATAGCATTGTTCTTTCTACTCAAAATCTCGTTAAATGCACTCCATTCACCATCAACTTGATCGACATAAACCCAGTCGTTAGGAAATTGGAAACGCTGACGTTCCAATGTCTTTTGGCCTTGTCTGAAGAGGTCAACATCCTGACTCCACTTAGCCACCTTACGCTTCAAATCTTGAACAAAGGTAATAAATGTGACAGCTTCACCAGTAGAGTTACTTTCAATAGATTGTTGCTCCAACTCGTAACGAGCCTTGGAAACAGATGTGTGGAAATCCTTCATAGAAGAACCCAAAAGAGAACCAAACTTATTGAGAATTTCACGTTGCCATTGATCGTACTTTTGATTGACCTTGCTTTGCACCTGTTCATAGTCGACAACAAGAGGACCAAATGATTGTTCAGTTTCGGAATTATCAAAGGTAGAGCGAGCTTTCTTAATCTCCAATAAGATCTGCTGCCATTTACCAAGATCATCCTCAAGGATAGTAAAGACATGACTTGACTCTAAATCCCAAAGAGATTGATATTGCAACCAAATGTTGACATAATCAGAGACTTGGCGAATCTTATCTTCGACAATTTGGTAAGCGTGCTCGAGCGAGTTATCACCCATACGGGTTAATAAGCTAGCATAGGTCTTTTCAATGGATGGGTTATCTCTTACACTCAAGCCTCCTTCGTAACGAGAACTTTGAATACGAGGAAGGTGACAAACGACTGCTAACCAATCATGTAATTGAAACCACCAACTAGTACGAGCTTGCTCAATTGGAGGATCAAGGTACATAAGTTGATTACGGATACGAATTTCATGCACGATAGGTTGAAGGTCAGGTTTGACATCAGGAGACTTTTGGACCACAATAGCTGTTTCTTCGACTGTAGCAATACTATCACGATGAGCTCCGGCCTTTCTCTTACGTCTGCTCTTAGAAGCACTAGCTTCGGGAATAATTGCGTCTTCTGTGACCCCCATAAATGCACTGGTCCAAGAACGAATGGCTTGTTGCAAACGGGAAATCAAGACAGTTTCAATACGCTTATCTAAACCAGCGACCCATTGATCGAGATTGGAATAATTTTCCAGATTCAATCTATCAATAAGCTTTTGAACACGGCTCAAATCATCCTCAAATCTTTCAGCTTGGTAAGGGCATGCTTTCATTTCATCGACACCCTTAGTGATTTCATCATAATATCCAATCAATGCATCGACTTTGTCTTGGAATACAGACACAACATTAGCAAATTCACGAACAAACATAACATGTCTGTTTTCGCGAGCATCCAAAGGAGTACCAGTCAAATAGGATAATGGACGATGGTGAGCATCGTAAGTGTTGACAAAGTAGTCCCAACGTAAGTTAATACCTTTGGTAATCATATTGTGGACTTCGTTGCGATAACCAGCGACAAGGGTAGCAATATCAGGATTACGGTTAACTTTGTGAACAGTTTGAGAAAAAGTACGGACAGTTTCCATTAAGCTGACAGCAAAAGGATAAACACGCTTAGCATCTTTAGCGACATTAGAAATGGTATGAGGGACTTGGAAGTTTAACCAAAGCAAATTTCTGACTTCCTTGAAAAGGGTAATGATTTGACCGTCGAAATTGACACCAAGCAACAACGTGTTTTTTTGTACACGATTACGCGAGATTTCAAAAATACGGCCAGAAACAGAAAGATCTCGCTTCATAATTTCTTGGAGCCAGTTTTCGTAGATGGGGCGAGTATCCAACTTCTTGCGGAAACTACTACTTTCTGCTTGAAGCTTTTGACCTTCGGCATAAAGCTCCCAGCCCTTACCGAGAACATCCTCAACACGTTTCATATAAAGAGACAATTGACGGTCAATTTGACGAGCCCAGATGATGGCACCAGAAATAGGAGGCAAATCACGCAATTGAGCCATATGATAAGCTTCAGAATTTCTGTACTGCATTTTGAATTTATCATGCAATTTGTTAATGTCTTCTTTGACACTATCAATCAATTGAGTTTGATATTCTTGAATAGCACCACGAATCTTGGGGCGAACGAAAAGTGCATTGAACTTGGAAAACACACGGAACATTTCATTGGCACTTTTGGCTGTACCCAAGCGATCACGCAATCGAGCAATGATTTGATTTTCAACACGAGACACACGCTCATTATATGCTGTCTCTGCTTGTACCCAAATCTCTGTTCCCTCGGGTGATACATCAAGGACGTCGATATTCTTGACACTTTCGTAAGCAAGTTTAACTTCCTCAACAGCATTGATATCACTTATGCTGACGCTCTCCTCTTCCTCCATAACAGACTTGACTTGTCCGTCAACAACAACAGTTGCTTTCTTGGCACGAGGGCTGGTCATGACACGAACGATTGTTTGATGAAGTTGTTCATGTTGCTTACGGAAGGCACGCACGAAAATGACTCTCTCTTGTAACTTTGCGTGTGCTGGGTTGATCTTAATGGGTAAGAACTTTTCAGATCTCTTACGAGTTACATCACGAGCAACATTAGTAAACTCTTTAATCAATTCATCCCAAGTATGGAAAACAGCTTCAGCACCTGCTGTTGTACGCTCAAAGTCATCATACTCCATGTACATCATACGACGACTGCCGAGAACCTTTAAAAGTTGGTCATTTAAATCGCGCGAAATGGCTTCAACTAAAGGAAGTGCACGGCGAATAGGGTAAGGTGACAGCTTGAGTTTCTTGTTAAGATGGCCGAAAATCATGTGCAAGGAGTCTCTGATCTTATCCAAGTCGGTTGCAGACAAAAGCTCGTTTAAAGGGAAATCTTTCATCAACTGATTATACTTGTGCACTATTTTGTAATGAAAGTTAACAAGGCTACAAATTTTACATCGTTATAACTTCTTACCAAGCTCCATGCCTTCCTTGAGGCCAGTATCAGCAATAAAACTGACTGTAGCGTGGAAACGCTTTGCATGTTTAAGAATATCCAAAGTTAAGGCTGCGGAAATAAAAGGTTAGGTTTTTTCTTTTGTATCGCATGGTTTGTACGTACTAATTTGATCACTCTTAAGCTGCTCGTCGATCTTTTCTAAGGCACGCTCCATGCTCAGCCAAAAGTTAATTTCTTGGATTGCAGTGCCGCTTGCAGGATCACGGGACATTTTTGTGACTTTTTGGATTTCCTTGATCCAACCATTGACATCACCTTGAAGTTTGTTAAGGAAAGATGAATCAGAAAAAAGAGTAGGATCGACAGCTTCGACGGTAACACGCTTATTTTGCTCGCGGCACTGCAAAATTACATAGAATTAGTATTGTTTTATCAGCAATAAAAAAACCTTTACCTTGTCTACAGCCTTTTGGATCACAGGATGAATATTGAGAGCAATTTCGGGGATCTCAACGTTCTGCTGAAGATGTAATAAACTCAGTTCCAGTTCTGCCATTTTCTTCTTGGCCATAGGCACACCCATTTTGTTGTCTTCGTTCTTACTCTTTGAACTAGCTTCGTTGCCGGTCTTACCATGTCTAGCATTGACATAAGCATTAAAATAAGGACTGACCGCCAAATGGATATACGAATGCAAGAATTCGTATGCACTAGTTTGACCTGGTTCTCCGGAATTAGCACCAGGCAAATTAATCAGCTGTAACTGGTTTTGAAGAGGTCTTAATTGATCAAGGGTAGGTAAACGCTTGATAACAGCAAGAGATCCAACATGAGTTGGGAGGTATGTGATTTCATGAGAAACGGTATAAGAGTAAGTTGGAGGTGATGAAACATCATCTTTGTATGTAAAAAAAAAGACAGTCAGCGCGTTAGACGAATTCAGGGGGAAAAGAAAAAAAATTACCTTCATCTTTGCCACCTTCCTTTTCCTTGAGAATAAAGATGACTGGTGTTTGAGGGTCATTAGCGAAGCGTTTGAATTTTTCTGCAGTGTCAGGATAAGCAAAGAGGGTGTTTTCTAAATCAGAGACCTCGGCATCTAAGACTAAAGGTAATAATTGTTCGAAGTAATCCTGGAGTTTGCGATGATCAAATAATAGCAACACCTCGGCGGCAGGTGTAATAATAGATGATGACGGTTGGAATGAAGTATCCTCGTCAAGCATTATAGTTGGTTCTTTTATCAACTAATGAAGTGGGGATGATGGTATAAGCTGCAACTAGTTTTTTTTTTATTATTTGATCTTCTTGCCAAAAACTAGATTGTTATACAAATGTTTATCTTTTTATCCAGTACGCGTCAACAAAAGTAGACCTTTTTGTAAAGAGGAATGATGATTCTATACAAAAGCGTAGTAATAGGAAAAGATAGAAGGGTTAAAACAAAACGAGAGGGGTTATAAAATAAGATGAGGCGGACCGAGAAATTAATTTTGACCACACAGATTACGTCTAGCAAGTGGCGTAGGAGCACAGAACAGGGGACAGTACTCATTTTCTCACAGAATCATGAACAACTACTCATCTATCCGCAAGCATCCGCCAATTTTACATCATTTAAACTGATCTAGTAACGCCATATAAGCTCATGTATCAGACAAGGATAACGTCAAAAACACTGTTAATTTTAAAGGTAGACTTGTTGATCCGTATGACCTTCTTCATATCCAATGGTGCTTCGTATATTTGTTATGCATAATTATTGTTCCGTTAGTAATTGGAGTGTTTCTTCGAAAAAAAGTTTGCTTTATATACGCATAAATATCTAACTAAAAATCGACTGAATAGCATATATGAACCCGAATATCACTTTGGAAAAGTTTTTTTTTTATAATGCGTCCCATCATGCTACTGTTCTATTAATCTCTCACTTGTAGCCAAAATAGATCATAATGCAGAAGAGCTTAGTAAAGATTAATTATATCATCAAACATCATCAAAATGTTATATTTAGGATATAGAATGTAAAAGAATACAATTATAGTGGTTACTTAATTAGTTATTATTAATTATATAAGTTATCAACAAGATTTTAGTGTGCTTAATCTCGCTTCAAACCATTAAATAATAGACAGTGTTTTTAAAAATGCTGTCTTTTTTTGTTACTTTGTTACATTCCTAAAAGCGAGCTACGAGGCCCGGTCGGCTATAGAAAAACTGTGGCTTTATAAGAGAAAAATGTTATTTACCAATTGTCTTGTCCGTAATGCTGTTCATGAGCTATTCCTTCAACGTTAGGGGATAGAGGGCGTATTTTGTAAATAAGTCTTGCTTGAAATCATTAAAGAATAACACTTTTGTGTATCGATGGTCTTCAATGTTTCAATAGGAGTAACTGTGTACGCTGAATTAAATTTCAGAGACAAGTCTTCAATAGGTCTCCAATTCTTTTAGTTGGATGTAAGATTTTTCTGTTCCTCATGTCTAATTTAAGACTTGAATTACAGACAATTATGATTGAATAAGTTAATAATAATTGTTTACAGCTTAAAAACATTTGATAAATAACATGTAAGAATTTGAGCACAAAGTTTTGAGAAAGGTTACTAGTTATTTTTGTTTTAATAATGCAGTATTAAGCTCCTTGATATTACTCTACCAAAAAGAACTAGCGATAAGGTTTACATTCTATTTTTCAAGGGACATTAATGCAAGTGTCTATGTGTAAATAGTCTGACATGTGTATTTTTCTAAATAAGACTCCCTTACTGCTTTTAAAAAAAATGGGTTGCGATAAGTCAAATTGTTATAAACACTCGCCAATAATTTGATTTTGAATATTTTGTCGGTGTAAACAAATACCTACAACGATATAAAATAGCGGAATGAGTATTGACGGAGACTGTATATGTATAATACAAGATACATCCGAGTACCAAGTAGCATAACAGACTGATTATGAAGATTTAATTGAAATGTTTAGATATTGCTATTTTAAAGTTTTAGAAGCTTTTTTTTTTTTGGCACATCGTATCGGACTTAATGTGTCTTTCAAAAACTGAGGAAGTCTTCCGCGACAAGTGATAGGTTAGAATATCTAGACTTGTTGATTTGGTTTTTTTTTTTTTTTTTTTTTTTTGTATTCCCTATTTAAAGGAGTTATAAACATAGTTCATTGTAATTACTCGTGTTTGTCAAAAGGCTGTTTCTTGCATCAACTGATGCTGGTCTTATATATCATGGTTTTTTTGGGACACTCATCATCATAACCTCAAACTCCTTTTTGTTTTGTTTTTATCGCCCCTATTACAAAAAGTTCCAGGGCCTCTTGTTTAACTGTAATTAAAATTGACAACAGCAGGCTGTATCCTTTATTTGCTTAGACAATCGTAACATATTGGCGCTAAATATTGATGATAAAAGGAGACTTTAGTAAAACATTAAAAAAGACAGAAAAAAATCTTTTCGCTGTCTATCTTTCTTTTTTAAAGATGACAAATATATTTAAAAAAATATGGAGAAAAACAAGGGATTCTGCCGTCATTTTTAATCATAAAATGAATGACAGTTTCTGTTTCGGATCTGGATACATAAATATGGATACAGAAAACTTGGATGATGATATATATACCATCGAAGACCAAGAGTTATCCGAGAAGGTATATAAATTTATCAGACACGATCATTGATATAATATATTTAACTTGTAAATCAATTGATAAAGAGGCGTTCTATTTTTTTTGATGATAGATTCAATGTTTTTCCTTCGCAGCTATCTCGTACAAAGTAAGAATTGTACAGACAAATAAAGTATTGTGTATAGTAGTTTAACCTTGATTATAGAAATTAAGGAGAGGCATCAGTTCCATTGTCAATGTCAAGATAAAAATCAGCATTACAGATAATAGTCAACTTTACCAACATCTAATATTTTTATAATAACTTTTCCCCCTCCCTTTTACATTGTATTTTAAAGCCTTTCCTTTCTTCTATTTTTTTTACACCGTATGGGACTTACTGTGTAAATTGCTTATCAGAATCCGCATGCTCAAATTTGTATGAATAAATTTGATAAGCTATATTTTCGTTTGTGTTCTTGATAGCTGTAATTATTTTGTCTATCTTAATTTGCAAGATGATCGGCATGAACCAGAAAGATAAAAAGAAATGTGAATCAATTGATAGTAGTACAAGAGACAAACATAAAACAGAGGATTTCCCTTTCGCTTCGATCAGTTTATTTCATATGGAAAGTATTTCCTTTTTTGTTGGACTAATTGCAGTAATTTAATTTATTGTTGTATTACCAATGCATATGTGATGTGTTTCGATCATTCACTTTAGTGTGATACAAGTATCCCATTTTTTTAACGGGATGCTGGTCCGCCTGCAATTTTGTCGTGTGCATATAATCACGTTGTATATAATATATGGTTACTATACTTTCACATACTATTGTTAAATAGAAATTTATATTTTATATACCTTGTAACATCCCTAAATGGTAAAGCTACTGGGTATCATTTCAGGGTGTTCGCGTTGAACACCACTATAGATAAGAGTAAGAAATGTAACCTACTTATCTCACCCAGCAGGATTTATCCAATCCAATTGATAGTCGCATTTTAGGCAATGTGTTCCTCTTCCGTAAAATTTGTTTTATACAACGTATCATTGCGATCAAATGATGCACATGACGCCTTGATCAACAATTTTTTATACAACGTATAATTGTAACCCTGGTATTACATATGTTATAGCCAGCGATGCGATACAGGGTGGGACATGTTAAATGACATGCATCTGATTTGCATAAGAAAACGCTTTGGAAAATGTATATAAAAGTAGAAAAGAAAAGTCCAATTTTTTTTTTATTTATTTTTTATTTATTACTCAAATACTTCTATTAACAACTATGAAATTCACCTTGCCCATCATTGCTACTGCTATTGGTTTAGCTTCTGCTGCTCCTTCTTGGGAAAGCTTTTCTAAGAGAGCTACTACTTGTAGTGGTAAGCTGTCTTAATTATTTTCTAATTGAACGTGCACTGATATCCCCCACATAGCTAATACTCTGTCATGCCAATCTACTACTGTTGACTCTTGCTGTTCCCCTACTAATGGCTTGGTTGTCCTTGCTCTCCAATGGATTGTTGGATACGGTCCTTCTGATGAATTCACCGTCCATGGTATGTATTTTTTTAGTCCTGATATTTCTATGCTAATTAAATGTCAATCGTTATTTAGGTTTATGGCCTGATACCTGGTAAGCATTCAGCTCGTAACATATAGAATAAAAATTCACAATGATGTCTCTTTTAGTGAAGGTAAACAATTAGGTTCAACTGGTTGTGATGCTAGCAGAATTTATACCGACGCTGGTACTCGTGTAAAGGCTGCTAATAGTGCACTTTACACTCGTATGAATACCTACTGGCCTAGTTATAAAGATGACAATAATCTGTAAGTGGAATGGCAACCTCCGGCTTTGTTACTGGTCAAAGTTTAATTAAATTAAATTTTAAATTTATAGTTTCTGGTCTCACGAATGGAGTAAGCATGGTACTTGTGTCACCACTCTTGACCCCGATTGTTATGGAACATCTTATACTGCAAACAAAGATTTGGTTGATTACTTCAGTGTAAGATTACAAAACAGCTTTAAAATATATCAATATTCACATATATATATACACTTTTCGCTCACAGAAAGCCCTTGATCTCCGTGATGAGTTCGATCTCTACGCTGCTCTCAAGTAAGTGTGCCTTTTTATATAACTTACATTGTTATTAACAACTTTTCTTCATCAGGGCTAGCAGCATCGTTCCTGGTAAAGCCTACCCCGTTGAAACCATTAGAACTGCTATTTCTAAAGCTTATGGTGCTTCTGTCAAGCTTGACTGTACCAGCAAGAAGTTGACTGAGGTTGCTTTGAATTTCTATGTCCGTGGAAAAGATAGCTATGAAATTACCGATGTCCTCTCAGCTGGTTCTTGCTCTGGTAGCGTCACTTTCCCTGTTAAATATTGATCTGTGATCATTTAGTTGTGGACTTTTCTCAATTTACTGCTAGTTAATTTTTAATAATAAAGCTAATCCCGGTTTTTCATACATCTATTAATATACCACAGTGTCTTAAATGATATTCTTTATAAAATTATTCGAATGTTTTACACGTGCAAGGTTTCATATGAGGGTTAATGAAGCTAGTATATATTACCAAGTAGTGATATGATTGCACATACGGTTCCTTGCAATTAATCAATCCTTTACTTAATAAAATTAATCACTTTGAAAAATTATTTGCTGTTTTTATTGTTTTATTTAATATAAAAGTGTAATTATGTAACAATGCTATAATGTAAAAGTAATTATGCATGATAAAGGTATTGTCTATTCGTCTTCCTCCAACAAAATTTCCCAATCATCGGATTCTGGAGTTTGACTCGTATTACTTTCGGTATTTACAATCACTGCATCCTCAACGACATTATTTGTCGAATCGGAGGCCGCGTCTTCTTTTTCTTCTTCGTTATCTGTGACAACTGGAGGAGGGGTTGCTTTGGGAGATTCGATCCAAGCGTCCTTTGCGGGCTTGAAGGGATTATCACCTCCTACACGCATCCATCCATCATCGTCCACGGTCTTCAAAGCATCGTACGAATTTACAAATAATTTTCTTCGTGTTGTAGCTGATGAGCTCGCTGTCGCTGCTGCCACTGCCAACTTTTTCTCGTCTGCTACTTGTTTCTCGCTCCAAGTAACTTCGCCTTTTTGATTCACCCAACAACAATCAATTCGAGCTGCCTTTGTTTCTTCGATCTTCATAAATGCTGCTTTAACAGATTTCTTTAACTGCCAAATGATATTTTCTTTCTCGTCCATTGAAATATCATCGCTGATTGATGGTACAACAATGGCATCGTTTTCATTCACCCAAGTTGTTGTAAAATGTATAATATCATCTCCAATTTTGATTAAGGGAACTAAATCTGCATCCAATTCTAATTTAGTCAAACCAAAAGCCAAATCTGTAAGATATAAGGCATTGACGGGCTGTCTAACCATAGATCGACCGCTTGTGTCGGCCTCGATGCCTTGAATAGTAGTAGGAGCACGATTTAAAGAAGGATTACGAGCAGCTTTGGATAATAAAATGGGAGGGATTCTGCTTGGGCCAAGCGTCTTTCGGATAATGACACTACGTTTAGGCTCACTGTCAATAGCTTCTGTAGAGATGTTGAAGTGTACAGCATAACGGTGGATGAATCGACGATATTCGCTACGCATTGGCTTAAAATGGAAACTTTTCTGGGTAGGGTCTTGAACAAATTCAATCATGGAATTCTCCATATGTCGACACCAGCTTGTATTTCCCAGGTAGAAATCACGCAAAGTATCATCATAATAGCCAAGATCGTCCGAGGAAAGTACTTTGGGGTCCATCACGGATCCGACCGTAGGTGACTGTGAAGATGTAGGGGTACTTAAGTCATCACGCTTAATATCAAAAGCCATAGCAAGACGACGATTACGCAACACCTTGGCGCAAAAATCATTACATTCCAAATCCTTTTTAGATCCACTTGATTCTGCAGTTGCATTACAGGGAATTTCAATCGTATTCTGCCCACATTTACAGCTGGCCTTAATTCTCGCAGTACAAGGATTATCTTCAGGACATGGTGTGTTTGTACCATGACACTTGCTTTGACATGGATGACCACAACTTCTCGCACTACCACAAATTTGACTACAAGATTCACCTTCAACCAAGCATGGACCGTTATGACATGATTTAGGACACTTATGCTTACCACAAGGAAGGTCCTTTTCACAAGGACGTCCACATCGAGGAGACTCGCGATAACAAGGAACATTCCTCAATTCTGTCTTTCCACAAAGACAATGACGGCTGACAAGAGCAGGGCATGGAGGACAAGGTTCATCGTCAGGATGACAATTATGATTCAAAAAACGCATATGTCCACAAGGATTGGGACGGATACATGGATAAACACAGGGAGGTAATTTGGTTCCACATCTAACGGGAGGTTCTAATCTAGTACGTGTACAATTACATGTAACATCATCAAATACAGCCTCTAATAAAGATATTAATATAATTATCAATAATACTTATAAGTTAATATTACCCAAACATGGACGGCATTTGCCTTTGTGACACATATCTTGACAACGATGTACACCACATGACAGCAATTGATCACAAACTTGAGGGCAATCATGAGCATATTCTGTTCCTGTCTTTCTTTTGCCTTTGACCTTCATAGCGGGACAACATTCTGTTCCACAGTTATGTTTACCACAGTTTCTTATAGCCTTACATACTTTGTCACATAAAGGAGGTTCGCCGCCAACAGCTTCACATACATTGTAACATGTATCCTTAAATGAGGTGGATTGACAACGACAAGGTACTTGAACAGCAACTCTACAGGGAGGGCAATCACCTAAATGACATTTTTTGGTACAAGGATGACCACAGACAGAAACCTTGTCACAGGTAGATGTACAGGTGGGAACAGGATCATTACACGAAGTACGAATCTTACCGCCGAGCAATTCTTGAATAGTATGCTTACCACAAGGACATGTTTTAATAAGACTAGGATCGGAAGGACATGGTTGAGAATTGGCGGTGCATGGATGACAGGGTTTTTCACAACGATGTTGACCACACATAAAGACAGTATCGCATTTCTCGTTACAGCTATAGTAACCAATATGTCCACGTAACTGAACTTGTTTGCCTGAACCACATCGAGCAGTCCTTTCGTGACGTCCGCAATAGCAAGACTGTATTTCTTGAATTTCGCAAGGAGGACAAATTCCGGAATGGCAGCTTTCCTCACATCGATGCTTACCACAGCCTAACAATTCGTCACAAACATCTGCACATGAAAATCCCTTTGTTGAATAATCGGTATCTATACATCTTGCCTGTCGGGTATTGTGGCCACAGTAGCAAGTGGTGATGGGACCCATTGAACTACAAGGAGGACATGGACCTGGATGACAAGGTCTATAAAATTATATATTAGTATATTATTTACATATGACCGGAAACATATATATTCACTTACAGTACACACTCATGAGGACATGATTTATGTCGCTTACACAATTGTTCACAACTGTGTGGTGTATTATATTTAGAACTTTCGGGATTACGTTGTTTTCCACAGAAACACAAATAGTCTCTTGGAACAACTGTACGATTGTTTTGACAACCGGGACATCTCCAACCTGTGACCATTTTATTGGATGCTGGATCTACATAAACGTTATGTCAATCATTTATCACTTTCTTTTTTTCGTGAAATAATTTATCGCTTTACCTTTTAATGACTTCGTCGCCCAAGTTTGCACACAATTTAAATGGAAAACTGCCCAGCAACAATCGCAAGTCCAAACATGGTGAGCTGGTCGAACAACATCCATACAAATCATACATTCATAAGTTGAAATTTTGAGTTCATGTGCTACAACGGTAGCCATGTCGTGCTCTCCAGGTGGTAATTTAGCGACTCGTTTCGATCTATTATTATTGTTGTTGGATTTCTTTTTAAAAGATGAAGGTTTCAACCCGTCTTCATCCTGGTTTTCAACTTTATTTTCGGTCAAACGACCTTGAGCTCTGTTTTTGCTGATACGAGCTGCAGAGTTATTCACATTGTTGGGTTGTTTGGGTCTGTTGTTGGTTTTCTTCGTGGCTGGCTTTTTTTCCGTGCTGGATTCCCCTTCTACTTTGGGTGTACCTGCCTCTGTAGCATTTAAAACGTTGGGATTCTTCTTTCGGTTTCTATTTCTTTTGTTACGGCTCTTCTTAGCAGTTTCATTTTCTGAAGCATTACTGACACTAGGATTAGGCTTCGAAGAGCTAGAGGCTTCACCGGCCTGGGAAACTTGAGGAGAGCTTAAAACTTGGCTACTGCTACTCATTCAAATGTTAAACGTAACGGGGAAAAAGGGCTGTAGAAAAAATAAGGGCTTTATTATGGAAAAAATAGTGACTGCGGCGTGAGTCTGCTGCGGTCAACAATCGCATTTTATTTTCGTTGCTGTGCCTAAATTTAAGAACGAATTAACTCTTCTGATTAAAAACACCTAAAACAATCAGTTTTTACCTGATAAAGGCCCGTGTAATATCCAGAATAATACCATGCCATCATCAAATTTGATAGGTCTTCTACACCGAAAGAAAAAAAAATTAAAGGCTATCCTGATTCGAAAACATATTTTTTACTCTAACCTTGATTTGAAGACATAGAGGGCATTGGAGGCATAGAAGGCAATAAGCTTCCTTTAGTACTCGACGGCAGTGTCTATTTTCGAATAGTTAGATATTGTTTTCCGTTTTTCAAAACTGCTGTTTTTACCTGCTGGATCTTACTGGAAGAGACCTATTAAGCATTTAATAGGCATTCATAAATAAAAAGGAGTGCCTTACCTTCTCCGACTTTTTTCGTAGCACAGGCTATGATAACATTAATGGTAAGTAAAGAATCGTCTATGATATAAGTACCTGTTTCTTTGTTATATGACCCTCCTGAGTTTTTCTGCGTCCTACTAATTAATTTATTCGGTTTTAGAAATTCATATTGTAACCCATACCTTTTGTTCTGTTGGAAGGGAGGACTTGCGCTCTCACTTTGGACCTGGCTTGAATATTTCCTCTACAATAAGGTGCCCTTGATTTTTAGAAATAATACTTGATAGCTATTTTTTTTTAGTATTATTTACCCTATAAGCTTCTACATTTCTGTCCCAATGATCAATTAAGTCAGAATCGTCCCAGACATCGGAATGCTACATTCTATTTAAAAACACGAGCCTATGTATATTAAGCAGAAAGTATTCGCAATTTACCTTTGCATCGCCTGAACTGAAAAGAACTGTTCCAATCTTGTAAGGATCATCGTCATTTGTCTTGTTCTTTTTTGGCTTATTATTTTGTCCCATTTTTAACTATTTATGTGCTGCAGGTAAAGACAAAAAAAATCAGATCCAGCTGTCAGTTTGATTTTGGCGAGGTAGTAAGACTTCGAGGTTAAACCGTGCGTATACTTCAGACACAACCATTCCATTCACAACTCACTAGTAAGATGTGAATAAGTGTATATCAAATATCTTAGATTTATATCTAAAGAAAGTGTATTTTTCTAGCAGATTTTTTTACAACCCATCTCATATTGCGGTTTTCTACACTGCTTCGTCTATTTTTTTTATATATATATATATATATATATATACTTAGCTCAATGCCCAGCTAAATCTCTATAAGAAACATGTCTACTGACAAAAGATTTTCCAGTTTATTCCTTGTCTGGGGATTGTAGAAACTGAAAAACCAGTGTTTTTGCTTTATGATTAAATAACCAGCCAATCAAATGTCAGAAGCGTGATATTCACGTGATATTTATGCTTACGTAATATTTTTATTGTATGACAACATTTTAAAGCTAAAAATAAAACAACAACCGTATGGGGAAATGGTGTAGTGGTATCACATTCCTTTCGCATAGGAAAGGTCGCGAGTTCAATCCCCGCTTTCTCCATATTTTTTTTGTTTTTGAGTGATGTGACTGCTTTTAGATAGTTATAACTAAGTCTACACTTATATCAGACATGATACGAGCACTTTTCATATATTTTTTTGTAGTGAATGAGATTAAACAACCTTAGGTATCGTAAATGAAAGATAGCCGTTATATTTTATTTTACCATGTCGCTTACTGATATAGTTCAATAGGCAATTAAAAAGTCGTCTGTCATTCATGCTACTGTCAATAATATTTTATAAACCTCATGGGCTGTTCGTAACGTCTGCAAAAAAAAACCTATAGTAATGCTGATAAATCATTACACTGACAAGTACTGATCTGGTACCCCACGCTTACAAAACTTGATCACATTTTAATTTCAAAGTAGCAAAATGTCTAAGAACAAAAAAAATTTCTTTCGCAACATAACTGAAGCATTGCTGACGCTTCATATTTTGTTAAGTACCAAATGTATCAGACCGATTATATCTATAAAATGATTCAAGTCGCCTATATATAATATTTACTTATCCATTTAAACAATCTACACTGGAATAAATATATTTTACATATGGGTTAAATATATATTTTCAAACTATAGGTATTTAAGCTAGTCGAACATTTTATGAGACGTGTACTCGCAGAACAACTCGGATTTGTTTACCAATATTCTTAGCGACAGGAAATCACACAGATGCAAAGTTGATAACGGATTTCTATAATACTTAGAGCAATAATGGCATATACATAATTTGATTTTTATTATAACGCGAATAAATAAAATAAGCTTCTAATATCAACTTTTTTTTTTGTAGCGTGCATCTATAAGTTTATTGAACTATACTAAATAAATAACGAAAATAGATTCATATCAGTCATCGAATAATCCTCTTACTTTTCATTGTAGCTGCACAAACAAGTTATCTACCTCATCTGATTATCGCTTTTGACAACCACCACAATTTTTTGGTACCTAAAAAAAACCTTAAAACCTTAAAAAACATAGTATTAGAGTTTTATCCGAATAATCGGTAAATGAAGAATCATTTACTGCTCAAAATGCCCTGTTGCTTGATTGCTAAATTTAATTATGTCTTTGCCTTTTGATTGGAGATCACGGGTAAACATACCCCCTTTTTTTTTTGAAACAATAGAAAAAAAAAGGAAGCACATCGTATCGTAATAAACATTGCAGTCAGACGACGGAATTCTGATTGTCATTTAAAAGAATGATAAACAGGGGTTTTTTTTTTTTTTTTTTTTTTTTTTTTTCAAGTGGACATAACGCAGTACCTAATAAATAGAGCACCGCAATCCTTCTGATTCCCTTCGTTATTCTACCAAAAGTAGAAAATCGTTGTGAAACAATTATCAGAATTTAATACGGAGTTAATAAAAAATGTTTCTGAAAATAGCCCAATTATGGGTCTTTATTTCCCAATGTGATATTTAGGTATAGTGGCATCATTTATTTCTGTCCTTTACACCAGACGCGGCTGGACTTATTGTTACAGTGCTACCGCCATCAATTGGCAGCTTTACTGGATTATTTCGGGGGATGTTATGACGAGAATTGTTTTTTTTGGTGAGGTCTGAAAAAATGTTTATGGTCATTAACGTGCCATATCATCTTAAGCCCATTAGATGATCTACTTTTAAAATACACAATATCACAGAGAGGAATCAATTGATAGACGTCCAGGTTTTTCACATTGATGGCATCGTCAAAGTACAGGTCAATAAAGGCCGTCTTCACTTGCCTAAATTCCTAAATACAGCGTACGTTTGGTCTATCACCCTTAAAGCAGTGACCCTGCCAGTTATTTATAATATGACCCCAACAATTTAAGATTAGATGAACAGAAGAATGGTCCTGCTGCTTAAAATGATTGCATTTTTAAGCAAGCCTGATAGAGTGAACAAGGAATGCTTGCAGTATATTAGCGTACTGATAATCACAACTTTCTTATTCATATATTGTCAATTTAGGAAGCCTGAAAGTCGCATTAAATTCTTGTGAAAACTACAAAACCTGGATACCTGTAAACATATGCATGTACGTTTCTAATTGGATCTTTAGGCTCTGATTTTGCGGGAGGATGAAATGTCAGTAGATGGTGCTACTGGAAGGATATTATCGCTAATTTTTTATAGAGTTTATTCTGGTGCCTTCCATTTAAGAAAAAACTTTTCTTTTAACGGGAAAATTATCTGAGCTACGTATAGTTTCACAGAAGATGAGATCAACAGGAACAAAAGGCATGTTGTTGTAATTCTGCTGTTCTTTCGGGATGCAATATATCATATTTTTATTATGTCTGTCTAGAATGGATTGCTTTTTCTTTGATTGCATTTGTATAATAACAATAAAAAAAGAGAAGTGGTTACCACACTTTCAACGAGACTGAGTGGAAAGCATCGCAATTGAAGAAAAAAAGATAAAAAACGGTAGAAATTCAACCAAATTTGGCAAGCGTACACATTTATTACATATAGTGATGACAGCCTCCTTAATTTAATTGCATGTTGTAAAAAGAAAAAAACGAGACGGGAAATAGGAATATACAAAGTGGGACATACTGAGGGTATTATGCACGTTTATTGACATTTAGATTACATTGTAATCTTTTCGCCAAACTGCGTGGTGAATAAAGGAAAGGAATAATAGATCTAAGTACTAGTCTTGAGATAGAAGTTCTTGAAATAAGAATATTGAGACTTGGGAGACTTCCAAGTGCTATCGGAACCACCAAAGAAAGTATGGAACACTAAAATGATAAAGGCAGAAAATTAATTAAAAAAAATTTTTTTCTGTGAGGAAAAGAATAACTTACTGATTCCAACAACACGACCAGAAGAAGAAGTACGGAATACAAGATTTTTCTCTTGGATAACCAACTTTCCGTTGACGTAGACGTTGAGTTTGCCGTTCTTTTTACCAGCGGTGTTGAGAGTAAGAACTTGGCGAACACTAGTCCATTTACCAGTCTTAAATTGGAACTTGTTACGACCTAAACTGAATCCATAATCGGGATTGCAGATATTGACTTTATCGTCACAAAGATCTTTACGTTGCAATGAATGAGGCAAGTAGGCATACACTTCACCGAAACCATCTCCACGCCACATGAGTCTAATATAAGGAGATTATTATAATTGAATTCGTACGACATTGACAAAAAATTATTATTACCTAGTAGTAAAACAAGCAGATGAAGAGCTACCGCCAGTACATTCACCATGGCCTCCATAAAGACCAGGGAGTTTACCACCACGAACAAAATCGAAACCTTTAGGGAAAAAAACACTGTATTGCAAGGAAACGACCTTTGCACTCTTGTTGATTGTGAGAGGTTGAGCTAAAAATCCGAGACCGCCAATGGTGTTGGACTCAGGATTTACAGAGTTGGCAGGATACTTTACACGAAGAACGAGATCTTTAGTCTTTTTGGAAGGATCAATGGCAGCAGCATTCTTTAATTTGTCTGCGCCTTTCCAAAACCAAAGCCAGCCACTATGCTCTTGAATTCCCCAGCTCTTATCCATGACGCTACCTTTGCCAATGGTCAACTTTTTATACTTGTTGAAATTCATAAATTTCCATGATTGCGTCTTTTTGGCTTCGGTGGCTAATAAACAGCTCACGAGAACGAGAAATAATAATACGATACGAGATTTCATAGTTCTCTGATAACTATTTGAAATGAATGGGAAGGGGATTTTTTTTTAAAAAGTAGAAAAAAAAAATTGAAAGAGAGAGAAAGTTATAAGGAATTTCTACTCAAATTAACCTTGTACCTTTATATTGGATACAGTTACACTAATTTACGGACTTGATCAATTAAGGGTAAAAAGTGTAGAGCACACAACTCCGATTAATTCAAAATTAAGAAGCTAAGCTATCTACCAGAGAAGGGCTCATTGTATTATAGTTGGCCATTTAGTTATACGCTAAGCCAATATTTAAGTTTGATCCCGCCCCCCTCGTTTCAATTTATTGTCTATTAACCTTGAGGTAATTAATAAATGTCTAAAAACAATGGGACCAGTGCTCTGGAGGGCCGTAGCACATATAATTTATGCGTTATTGGATCTCAGTAGATGCAGGTACATTTTACAACAAAATTCCCGTCAACTAGCTAGATATAAAATATCAAGTTAACATTTATTTTTATTCTTGTACTGTACTCTTCACCTAACAGAACACTTTTATAGTTTATAGTAACTACAATTGCGCTCTTATTGTCCGATTTTGAAGTAAAAGTAAACATTTTATGAAAGATTATTTTTGGTTAGCTTGAGAAATATAGGGGGAGAAGAAATTTATTCAATTTATTTCGAAAGAGTGTTCAGCTCTCAGCGATGATGAGTTTACGCGATATTTACGAAGTCCCCAATTTCTATTATACGTTTACAGCATTTGCATTATTGTTTGTTTAAGTGAACAAAGTGTCTGAAGGGGTTCACATGCAATTTTACTTTGAGTGATATTTTTAGGATTCAAAATAAGCAGAATTTATTTCCCCGTTCCCTCATTTATGCATAATATAGTTTAGTCAGTTTTGATCTACTAGATGAGATCCGTGATTAACCAACATACCACAGTGAGGTATCAAGCAGCAGCATTAAAATGATGACGTTCGTGTTTAGAAACAACAAATATTTCGTCCCTTTCCGAGGTAAATATAACATTGAGAAATTACAAATGTCAATGTTTACCCTTCTCCATACTCATTTCTGAAAATTCACTTATTGATGTAAACTCCAACATATATCATGATGGGCGTTTTTATCATGATAGACAAGGTTTTACAATGTTTTGATCAGTGATTAATCTAGGAAAATCATGACTCACAAAAGGAGCAGATCTCGATTTTTTTTTCTTATTGGCTTGATGTTGCGGCAATATATACAAACAAAACAAAAAAAAGACATGTTCTATTTTTTTTTTTTTTTTTTTTTTTTTTTGCATAAGTAAGCAGTGTTTAGTCTGAGTTGAAAGAGTATTTTTGCAATGGTGATACTAAAAGGTGTGACTTGAATAGTACTATCCATGTGTATAGATATAATGGCATCTCTCTTCTGTTTGTTTTTGTTTATTTGTTTACATTGGGTACATTATATTGTTCAATCGCTTAAACTTAAATCGATTGATTGATTGGGTCCCAAAACAGGCAAGGTGACATCACTATCGAAGCTTGATTTCGTTGGTTCCTTGGGTCTTATCTTTAAAAAAAAAAAAAAAAAAATGGTTACCAACCAAATCCAGAGGATTTTCAAAAAATTTTCTAAACAAATGAAATGACACATTGTGAATAAAAAAGACCAACGCCATTCAGAAAACGGTCACAGATGAGCCCTATAATAGGATGACTCTTAATTTTTTTCCCCAGTTTTCTTTTTTTCTTTTTTTTTTTCCTTGTCAGAAAAACTTCTTTTTTAAAACTTTCAACCGCCTACTATCAGTTTATTAGGCAAATAACAATTTACTTACTCAAGAAGTAACTTTATGTATATTCACGCCTACGAAAAGTGCTCAGCCGATTATATTTGCGATCAAAGTAAGTTTGTTTTAAAACTCATATATTAAAATTAAATCTCATCCGAAATCTATATAGTTTGGAAATCATCTACCAACAACCTTTAAACAACTCAACTCTTTCTTTATAACAAGCTTATAACAAAAAAAAAAGAAAAAAAGAAAAAACTCAACCTAACTAAATTTATATAACAAAGAAAAAAACCAACTTTTTTTTTCTATCTCTCTCTCTACTTATCAACACAAACTCTTCAATAACATGCCTAGCACTATTAACAACTCTCCTCTTCCTGCTTCTCTCAAGTTGAAGACTGGTCAAATCTTCACTGGTACCTCATTCGGTGCCCCTGTCTCCACCTTTGGTGAAGCTGTATTCACTACTTCCCTTGTCGGTTATCCCGAATCTATGACTGATCCCTCTTACACTGGTCAAATCTTGGTCTTTACCCAACCTTTGATTGGTAACTACGGTGTTCCTGGTCAAGATAAGGATGAATTCGGTCTTTACAAGTATTTCGAATCTGATAGTATCCAAGTCCAAGGTATCATTGTCAATGACTATGCTACTGAGTACTCTCACTGGACTGCTGTCGAATCTCTTAGTCAATGGTGTGTTCGTTACAATGTCCCTGCTATCAGTGGTGTCGACACTCGTGCCTTGACCCAACTTTTGCGTGATCAAGGTTCTACCTTGGGTCAAATCTGTGTTGGCCAAGACTCTCACATTGACGATATTGCATCCACCGTCTTCCCTAACCCTAACAACGACAACTTGGTTGCCAAGGTTTCCACCAAGGTTCCTCTCAACTACAACCCTAAGGGTGATGTCAAGATCGCTGTTATTGATTGTGGTGTCAAGCAAAACATTCTTCGTTGTCTCGCTAGCCGTGGCGCTGCTGTCACTGTCTTACCCCATGACTATGACTTCAACTCTGTGGCTCATCAATTTGATGGTATCTTCATCTCTAACGGACCCGGTTCCCCCACCACCTGTGTTGAGACCATCAAGCATCTCAAGGTTGCTCTTGAAACTTTAAACAAGCCTATCTTTGGTATTTGTATGGGTAATCTTTTACTTGGAATGGCCGCTGGTCTTCAAGTTTACAAGTTGCCTTTCGGTAACCGTGGCCACAATCAACCTGCTCTCAATGTTGATACCGGACTCTGTTACATCACTTCTCAAAACCATGGTTATGCTTTAAATGACACTGATATGCCTAAGCAATGGAAGCGTCTCTTTGTCAATGCCAACGATGGATCCAACGAAGGTATTCAACATGAGACCAAGCCTATTTTCTCTGTCCAATTCCATCCCGAAGCTAAGGGTGGACCTCAAGATACTGTCTATTTGTTCGAAGAGTTTTTGAAGCATGTTCGTGCTGATAAGGTCAAGGCCGAAGGTTTTGAAGTACCTGTTCCTCAAGTACAACAATCTGCTATTGCAACCTTTGCCTAAAAAAAAATTCCGCAACCCCATCCCAAACTGAAAAAAAAACCAAAAAAAAAAATTTATTTTAGTTTTGTTCCTTTTTTTCTTTTGAAATCTTTTTTTTTTCCTTATTCCTTCTTATTCTGCATTTATCCCATTTTTTTCCCTATCTTTTTTTTAAACTAAATAAAAAAATACTACATTCTTTTTCTAAACAAAAACACAAGGTTTTTTCTTTTTTTTTCTTTCTTTCTTTCTTTCTAGGGCGGGGAAAATAGCTGAAATTTAACGAATGAAGATGCTGTGAATTTTTTCAAATTCAATCAGGCTCTGAAGTTGAATACATCGCTTGTTGCCTCCGTTGTTACGATGATTAGGTAATTGTATTTTAGCTAACGAAATCAAGTTATTCTTGACGGTTTCCAAGACCTTTTCTTGTTGTCGAACGGGTGATGTTTGTACATGCAACATTTTCTCTTTTAATTGATCACATCGTTGCTTGAGGGTATACAACACAGATTGTTGTGTTTGATATTGATAATCCGGTAAGCGCTTTTCGCTTTGCCATTTTCCTCCCTTTCGATCTTTACTGAGCTGGATCACCTTGGGTGTCGCACTGGCCGTACGCAGATCCTTTACAAGCATGCGAGTTTCGATTGCAAAGGAGCGGATCAAAGCCTGGGTTTGGGGGTCCACGCTCCTCTTACTCGGTTGAGCTCCGCCACTATCCAGATCCAACTTTCTCATCACATCCGTGCCCTTCAAGTGTGCATTTTCTGCACGCAAATAGCGAATGGCAGCTTTCAAGGACTCTAACTGACCATTCATTTCAAATACATTGACATTCTCGTTTTCCAAAAGAAGAGCAGATCCATCTTCCAGCAAGTCATATTCGGTCTTTTTAGGGACGGATAATCGTTTTTCTTCTTTTTTAGCTGCATTCTTCTTCAATGCCAGATTCTCTTGTTCTAACGCATCAAATTCAGTCTGTAAATTCTCCAACGCTTCAGCATACATTTGTTCCTGAGATCGTGTTTTCGTCAGGATTTCTTCGTTGGCTTGGTCCGCTTGCTTCTTGACCGTCTCCATGCGTTTTTCCAAAAGTTCGATTTTGACTCCGGATTCTTGCAATGATTGTTCCTAAACCGAGATTAAAAAAATAAGAAAAAAAAAAAAGCCAAAGTTACACAGGTTATTCCCACATACCTTGAATTTCACATCCTTGATAAGTTTCAGAATCTCATCCGTATGCTGTTGTAATTTACGTTCCATATCATGGTTCATCACAACCTCTGCCTTCATATCCGATGCACGTTGAATCCATGGAGCGACCCCAGTGGCGACTAAAGCGATCAATGACGAAAGAATTCATGCAAAAAAAGGGTTAGTAACAAGAATAAACGCACATGTGGTCGTATGTATCACAATGATAAACATTGTAACTTACTCTTTTCGGTCTTGATTTCATTTGAGATACGTTCAAAGGTCGTACCAAGTTCTGAGGTCAATGATTTAAGTGTCTTTAAACATCCTTCCCACATGGTACTTTCTGCAATCTCAAGAATTTCATCCGCCTTATTATACACAATTTGTTGAATGATACTCAGACTAATCTCCTCTTTACTGCCCACCTTGGCATCCACATAGTTGGATATTTGTTTATACGTTTCATAACAGAATCTACTGAGTTTTGAACTAATGGCGTACAATGTTTTAAAACGATGTAAATATTCGGATTTTAACGTCAGTGCTTGTTCTGATAAATCTTCCAATTGACGAAGCAGTTTTCTGAATGTATAACAAGGAAAAGCAAACGTTTCTTTTTATTTAGTTATGTCCATTCTAAATGATATACATAAAAAAAAACTTACCTAGAAAGGATCTTACTATTTTTAGCTTGTACAATCAATCGACCCAATGGTTCAAAATAGTCATAATCTAAACTTTCGCGCCCCTCTGTAATATGAATATCTAATAGATAGGTCGGCCCCCACCCGGCACATATCAGTTACCCACACTAAATCAAAAATGGGGAAGGGGGAAATTCACATGTTGTTTTTCTTTTTCTAAACTTACTTTCATTATAAGCTGCGTTATCTACAGCTTGCTTTACAAAGGTTAGTTCGACGGTCATTCTATCTGCATTTAAATCTAAAGCTCTTGTCAATCCAAAGAACTGATCGACGTGGTTAGCCTCACTTTGAACAAGATGGATTTCAGAGAGATGTTCCAACTGAGCGATGATTCTTTGCAACTCGACCACACATTCAGTTTCATTGATCTCGTCCGTACGAAGTAAATCTACAATTCCTGTTAGTCTTCTCTCGGTGCCAACCAAGTCATGATAGACTTGACCCATCTTGATAAATGTGACTGGGTTGCAGTTAAGCACAAAGGTGACAAACCGTTTTGCCAAGTCACTTAACCAACCCGCTCTCTGTCTCATCTCACACACCGAGACCAAACTCTCAGAGACAGTATCCATAATCTTTTCACTAATGGGATAATTCTGATCCAAGTGTTTGATAATTAGTTCTGACTTGAATACCAGTCGCTTGTACAATAAGACGCATGAGATGGCGTCATTTTCTGTTTTGAAGAATGAGTCTGGTAAATAAGGTTGAATGTAACTGAGACGGTCATTGGCTTGAGCGGCATCTAATTTACGAAGTTCCAGATCGATGGATTTCGCTTGGGCCTTCATGACTGTGGATTGAAGTTGCATATTGAGCGACATCATCGCTTGGGACTGACTACTGAGTGTACGGCTCTCGGATTGCTGACTGACTTCCTTGTGTCTGAATTGCTCTAAATCATTTTGTAAGGTCAATACTAATTCTCGGAACTGTTGAATAGTTGCTTCGTAATCCGTGTTTGTCTCTTCTGAAGATCGAATTCTTTCCATTTGTTCACGTAACAGCATATCACGATGATCTAAGTAAACGTTTTTGTCTTAGCTACACCCATCTTTTTATATTTACGTGTTTATGAGTGTGTGTGTGTACCAATCTCGGCCTGTAATTGCTTTTCTGTTTCCATATGATTCTCTTCCAATTCATCCGCCAACTCTTTCAGGGCCTCTAAATCGTCATTGGCCGATCGAAGCTCATCAAGTTTTTCGGTCAGGGACAAGTTCTTTTCGGTCAATTGATCCACGAGATCTTCAGCGCCTACCGCATCATCCAAACGTTGTTTCAATTCTTCAATGGAATACTCTGCCATTTCGAGTTTATCTCTGGTCTTTTCGTATTGAGCTCTGACATCCTCCAATTCATCGGTGTCTCTTTCCAGATCTCTGATTCTCTCATTCAATTCGTTTTCCTTGGTGGTTGTCACATCTCGTAGTCTAAATAGATATAAAGTGAATGTGAGTGTTTATATAAAATCGGGTATAACATGTTTTGTCTCACCTCATCAAGGCTTCCTTGAGACGTTCGTTATGACGTTCCAACTGAATGACTTCCAAAGGAGTTTTTTCATCGCCATCACGCTCCGGTACGCGGTTCATGATATCCGCCTCCTTTTTCAGGACATCAAGATCGATACTGATTTCCTCAATCTTGTCCTTGAGTACATCCACTTCTTGCTGTAAATTCTCGGCTTTTTCTTCCGCCACTTCTTTATCCAAGGTCATCATTTCGAGTGATTCTATCACGTCGTTATATTTACTCTCGTACATTTCTCCATCGGTGGAAGATTCCTTCAAGTATCGTTTAGTCTCTCTCAATTCCTTTTGCAAATCCGCAATTTTATCTGTAAAAATAATATAAGTTTTTTTTTCACTTTGTTCAAGCAATCCTTCCTTTTTTCTTTCTTTTTTTTTTTTTTTTTTTTTTTTTTTTTTTTTTTTTACCTTGCAGCTTGTTGCGAAGTGTCAGAAATTGTTCGGCTTCTTCCTTGATCTTTTCATGCTCCCTGTATCGTTCACGATCCTCTTGTCGCTTACTCTCTAGAATCTTTAATTTAAGTCGCAGTTCTTCGTAATCCTTGAGTGGGATCATTTGGTCGGATTTACTGATGGGTAGGTTGGCAGCCAAAGAGCCATAGGAGGGCTGCTGATGATGACGGGTGGGTAATGCGGTAGAAGAAGTGGTGGATACAAGTCCCACATCCGAATTAGTTTCGACTGATTCCGATTCATAAGATTCTTCCTCTTCCTCTTCCTCTTCCTGTTGTTGCTGTTGTCGTTGTTGTTGCTCTAATTGAGCTGCAGCTGCATCTGCAGCTGCTAAATCTTCTTCTTCTTGTAATTGACGTTGTAATTCAGCTTCCTCCTCTTCCTGCTCCAATTCTTCCTGCTGTTGTTGTTGTTGCTGTTGTTGTTGTTGTTGTTGCTGCAGCTGTTGTTGTTGTAAAGCAATACGTTCCTGCTGTTGTAATCTTAATTGCAAAAGTTTATTCTCTTTCACTTCTTTCAGGGTATCTGAACGAGGTCTTGCTATACCCACTTTACTCTTTCTGGCCAAAGTTAAACTAGCGGTAGGAGAAGCCGGTTTTCGGTTCAGGGCGGTAGGTTTTTTAGTGGTGTTGTTACTGTTTGTGGACGGCAGTCGACTAATGCGAGAGGGAGAAGTGATACGAGAAGGTAACAAGGTGGAAGAGGAAGAGGTGGGTAAATGTTGTTGAATGGTTCTGGCTGCTGCCAAGTTGGGATCTTGAGCAGGAGCAAAACGATTGGCAGAAGATTGTGAAGGAGAGATGACGAATGGAATGTCGAGTTCGTCGTCTCCTTCTTCAGACAGGACTTTGACTTGACTGGGACGAACAAAGACGCCATGGTTGGCTCTGCATTCGAAATAACGTTTGCCTTGAACGACACCACTGTTTTTACCTTGAGGGTCGTCGAGTTCGATGCCAACCCATTTGCCTGTCTGGAAACTGGTGGTGCCGACAAAGCGAATTAAACCAATCTTGCCTTGTACCTGAGCACGCGCTCCTACTTTGAGCTCCGAAGAGATGTCCATACTGCTGTTGTGGTTATTGTTGCTATTACTTTGTGCGGACGAATTACGAGATGAAGGTCCAATCATGGACTGTCGTCGTTGAGGATCGAATCCTGACATGTTGCAATCTTTGTTGGTTTACGTGGAACGAATGGTGAATATAAAAGAAATAAATAAAGGTAAAAAAAAAAAAAAGTTGTTTAAAAAATAACAAGGGAAGAAAAAGAAAAAGGGACAAAATAAATAAATAAATAATTTTATTACTTTTTAGGGTAGTACTACTTTGAACCCCTATTTGTATTGAGCAATGATATGGTCGATAGCTTCTACAATTGACTTGAAAACGTTTAATCCTTCACTTGCATTACAATCTCCCTTTCGATATTTTCCGGTTTGCACTGTTTATGACACGACATAATAATAATAATAATAATAAAAAGTGTCAAAATAATGATGTTTTTTTGCATGAATCTAAATTCTCTATTTACCCAAGAAACGATGTAAACCCAATTCCTTTGCTCCACCGCCTAAATCATTAGATACATCGTCGCCAATCATTGCTACTTGTTCTGGTGCATTTTCCATGCCACTATCCAAAAAAAAAAAGTGTCAGTAAAAGTACACACTTACAATCTTCTTTCCTTTACATTTGTTTAAGAGCCAATTGAAAGAATTCTACGGTTGGTTTGCCAACAACAGTTGCTTTTGTCCCAGTTGCAAATTCAAGTGCTTTTTTTTAAAGACACTATTAGTTTACATGTAATAGAGACAAAAGACGATTGCTTACCTTTTACAAAACCTCCTGGTCCCATGGATAATTTCTCATCCTTATCCGCAAAGTATTTGGCCTCATGAACGGCGATCAAGGGAACATTTGGATCAGATACCATCAGTCGAAACGCCTCATTCAGCTTGTTTGTTTGGTATGATGAGCCCACGTATTTTATTTCTCATATTTTAATTCTACCTTTTCATAATGGAATTTGGATGGTGCTAAACCGACTACCACTGCATTAGGCTTGTATGTATCGATACCTGCAAACTCTTCCATAGCCCCATCTTCCATCAGTAACATGGGCCTTTTTAAAGAGAAGTTTTAATAGACATAGTAGAGCACTTATACAAAAAAAAGAAAAAAGAAAATTGTACCTGAGTTGTTTGCATATAATCATATCACGACACGCAGATAATGATGTAAACACCTAAAACATTTTTTATTATTACTACTTTGAGAGACATGCATTGCAAATCGACTCTTACATCTTTGTCTTCAACTTGGAAACCAAGGCCTGATAACTTTTCAACCAGTTGTTTCGTAGAGACTTTGGTTGTATTTGTAGCAAACCTTTTTTTTTTTTTTTTTTTTTGAAGTTAGTAAAAGACGCGACTTTTCAGTGATAGAGTGTACCGAAAGGGGATATTTGATTTTTTCAGACGTTGTATCGCTTCAATAGCACCTGGAATGACCTTATTGTCAATGTGAATGGTGCCACTCAAGTCAATCAAGACAGCACGAATGGACATGGTTTGTATTAAAAGATGAATAAATAAATAAAAGTTAAAGCGGTCACTTATTTTGGAGGGTGATGTATATGGGTTTATAAAAAAAAATATTTATTATTAAGAGATTATATTTTTAGAGAATAAATTTATAATTGACCACAGTCAGCGATGGTGACCTTAGCCTTGGTTCTACCAGACTCGGAACCTAAAGCCTCGATCTTCTTGACGACATCGATACCTTCGGTAACTTGACCAAAGACAACGTGCTTACCATCTAACCAGGTAGTCTTGATGGTGGTGATGAAGAATTGAGAACCGTTGGTGTTGGGACCAGCGTTAGCCATGGAGAGGTTACCGATACCAGTGTGCTTTAAAGCAAAGTTCTCATCAGCAAACTTGTTACCGTAGATGGACTTACCACCGGTACCGTTGTGGTTGGTGAAATCACCACCTTGGAGCATGAAGTCTTGGATGACTCTGTGGAAGGTACAACCCTTATAACCGAAACCCTTTTCACCGGTACAGAGAGCACGGAAGTTCTCAGCGGTCTTGGGGACAACATCAGCTCTTAATTCCATAACAATACGCTATGACAGTGTGTCAGTTCTTATCTCTCACTTTTTTTTTCTTTTCTTTTTTTTAATCCGATTGATTATATGTACTTACACCGAGAGGGGCACCGTTGGAGGCGACATCGAAAAAGACCTTGGGGTTAGACATGTTTAATAATAAAAAAAATTTATTTGATTAAAAAAAAGAAGCTTAAAAAAATAACTCGAAAAACTTTCGTTTTTAACCTCGTGTTTTTCAGTATCCGACTCTTCCAAGTTTCCATTAAATGCTATTAGATTCTTTTTTGTTAAAAGAAAAAAAAAGAAGTCTAAATATGTAGCCTTTCTTTTGTTTTTGCGCGTGTTTTTTTAAATGTTTTTTCTGTTTTCTGTGCTCTCAAAAAAACTTTAACTTGTTTCCCAAATATTTATATTTCGTTCTGCATTGTTACTTTTTTTATAATCCTGTAAACAAACAAGCCACACAGGGGCAAACGTGGGCTTCCACATTTTTTTTAAAAAAAAAAAAAGTTTGCGTGTCGGTGTCTCATTAAAATGGTTTAGTGTACGTCATTTTGATGGTCGAGAGAGATAGATCAGAACTACGGTTTTTTTTTTTTGGCGGGGGGACTCCAAACGCTAGGCCAAGTACTAGGACAGTTAAATCCTCTTGGCAATATTAGGATATAGTAAAGGCCAGAAAACTCACATAAAAAGAGTCACAACGAAAAAGTTGTTCAAGGCGCGTTAGATACTGTTGGCATGGAAACAAATGTGTCATTGGGTGGGATCACCTGTTCACACTACAAGTGACGTGGCACACGATTTACTTTTTTTTTTAAAAAAAAAACCAGCATTCACTTTTTTTTTTCTTCTTCTGCTTTATACATATACCAATTTATAACATGATTCCGGAAGAAGATTACGGTCAATTATCACAACAAGAAGCTTCCGATAACGAACAGGAAGAAGCTATTGAATTTATATCTTATGCCGAAAGTGATGACGACGATGAGGATCCTTATTTTATGCCCGAGCATCACAAGCGAACCAGCACTTGGACATTTCAACGGTAAATAATTCCCAACTCATACGATTAGAAGGTGAAGGGGAGGACTACTAACATGTCAAAAAAAAAAAGATTAACATGCGCTCCTATTCAAGTGGTACGCTTTACTATACCCTTTCTCTGCATTCTTACCATCATTACATATACCATTACCATTGCCGTTATCACTGAAAAAAAGAAGAATTCGCTCTAAAGTGACTTGCGTTTTATCATGGGAAGGTGGGGGGGGGGAGGTTGAATTAGGACACCACCCCCCTCTCTCACTCTCGTTTTTTTTTATTATTTTATTTCTCTCACTTTTTTTTCTTTCTTTAAATAAAAAATGGCTAATGAATATACAAAACAAGACATTGAGCGCATGAGACAACTCATGGATCAACCTACGGAGACAGCGCTTGATAAGATTCAGCGCAAGATGATTCAGGAACCACTTGTACCTGCCGGTGTAGCTTTAACCACTTTTGCGTTAGTGGCAGCTACTTTTGGTGTCAAGACGGGTAACAGACGCTATACAAACAACATGTTTCGTCTCCGAGGTAAAAAATAAAAAAAAATTGGGTGGCATATGGAACTGTTTTTAAATTTTCTAAAAATATACATTCATTTTATAGTGGCCGCACAAACATTTACAATTTTAGCCATGGTTGGAGGTTCAATTTATTTTCAACAAAAGGAAAAGAAGGAAGCAGCAGCAGCAGCAGCGGCAATGGAGGAGAAGAAATCATTGTAAAAAAAGAAAAAAAGAAAAAGAAAAAAAAAGAGAAAGAATAAAAAAAAAAAAAAGAAAAAAATATCAAAAAAAAAAAAGTTATTGTTGTGGTAAATGTAAACTTTGAAGTAATAACAGGTTATTGTTCATGGTGTTTTCCTCTTCTTCAATGATGAGTGATTGGAGTTCTGGTGCCTGCATCAAAATCTCCATAAATTCAATATGCAATAAATCATCCATACTTTCAAGCACATGTACGTTTTCTATGGACGCTTGTTTATCCTGTGTAAAATCATGACATTGCACCCACACCTCCTGGGTCGTCATGTAGAATTTCAGCTCCAAGGGTGAGCTCAAAAAAAATTCTAACCGGTGTTGACTCTTCTTTATAAATTGCACCAGGTTCAGATTAATATCAATGCGAAATTGCTGTTGCTCATCTCCAATCGTCCACTGGAGTGTACGTCCCTGAAGATCAATCTGGCAGTTTAGGTCGCTTACTCGCTTCCAGCTACCAATTTGTAATGTCTGTGCAGAAAGGTTATACCTCTGTTTCATAATTCCTCCTACGACTACTACTTTACGTTTTTAATACATGTACACGTAAAGAAAATAAATAATAAAAAGTTTTTTTTACCTGAGGGCGTGATATGATACGGTTCTTCAATAATGGTAGAATTGTACAATCTGGAATCAGGAATGCCACCATATAATGACGGCAGTGGAGGAGGGCCCAAAGACGAATGTCTTTCTTGAGGTGTTGATTTTCTATAGTATGGATAAGGACCAACGGAATGAGCTCTTGTGCGTTCATGATGCGAAGAAGACATGGAGGAGGAAGAAGAAGAAGAGGATCGAAGGGATAATGGGCGACGAGGAAGATTGTCTGAGCCAATGGAAGAACTGGAGGTAGAAGCGGATAAGGTCAAATCGGGTGTGGAGGAGGACCAACCTGAGCTGGTGGGTGTGGAATAGGAAGCGGTTGGCTTTGGATCCAACTGTCTCTGTTGATGGAAATAATAATAGTAATAATAGTAATATAAATTAGGATCAATGGTGTCACGTTGTTGTTGAAATGCAGCGGATTGGCAAGCAGCAGCAGCAGCACTAGCGGCATACTGCTGTTGAATATAAAGAGCCGAATCCTTCATTTGCACGTTACGTTTTGCCTGGTTCTTGACTTTGGCGCGACGGTTTTGGAACCAGATTTGAATGGATCTTTCGGGCATACAGAGTTGATGTGCTAATTGTTCACGCACACGGTTATTGGGTGAAGGGTTGGTGCTGAAGGATTTCTCGAGAATGGCGAGTTGTTCAGGTGAAGTGCGAGTTCTTTTACGTGGAGGTGAAATATCTCGATCAAAGGGTGGATGTGGTACGCCCAGTGGAGGTGGAGGTGGGATAGCAAACATGCTTTTATCATAATGTTGTTGGAAATTATAAGCGTCACCAAGGAAACCATTCATTCCGTTTGGATTATAACCTGGTGGTAGAGACATTTTCTTTTTTTCTTTTGTTAATTAATTTAGTTTGGGGAGAAAAAAGAAAGAGGAAAACCCGTAATAAACAAGAAAAACGAGAATAAATAAACACAAATATATTTTAGGGTTGTACAGTGCAAGCTAAACAAAGAACCGATCATCCCTCGCTTTCCATTACTAGTAAATAACTATACTTAATATAAAAAAAAAGATCGTCTCCTCCTTAAAAATAAAAGTATTCTACCCATATATCCACCTTTGCCGAGTTGTATATTTTTGATTTTTTCCTATACTGTCCATATGTTACTAATTGAAATGCTAAAAACTATAAAAAGATAATCAATAATATCGGGTATTCAAGTTGTATAGTAGTAGACAAAAATTGGTGACACCGAAATAAAAGACCTTTTTTAACCCACACGTGCTTTTTTTATTTAGATTCTGTACAACCTAGAATTTATATGAAGGGAGGGGGGGGGATGGAGTTATATATGTCAATCGCCACTGGTCTTGGTTTATATTAACAACTGGGGTATATTTGATTCTCTACATAGTCTGGTGGTGGAATCGAAGGTATTCTTTCTAATGAAGCCGTGTTATTTGCCATCAATAGTTGTGCTTGTGATGCCATTTCCATTTGTCTTCGAAATTTAAAGTAACAAGGGCATAATTGTGGTTGAGGTTCTGACGAAGGCATTTGTTCATCGGAGTCTGGCATACACTGTAACATGAAATCTCTGTCGACTAGATCAGGTAACATTTTATTTTTATCATCACCATGTGTTGGATGAGCTGTCACATTCAGTTCGGAATAGGAAGGTAGTCGTCCATAATCTTCCTTGAGTCGACAATCAAATATTGTTACTGGTGTCTCTAGTCGAATCGTTTCTCGCTTACGCATCACTTTGGGTTTCTCAATAGTAGTATTGGAGACCGCTGCGGCTGCTACTTTTCGTATTTTGGGCCATACCGAGGGTGATTGAGATCGAATATGTGTGTTTGTGTTGGTGGAGGTCATTGAAAAAGCAGCAGGAGGTGGAGCTAATGCAAACATGGCTCTGGTTGCTTCTTCTTCAATGGCGGTTACACTATTTTCACTTGTACTACTGCTATTAGAACTAAGGGAGGGTCTATCATTTAAGACTGGAGAATCATCCACAAAAGATATGGTCATATTAATGCTCAAATGATGTTTGAACATGATATCCTTGTAATAGGTGGTATGATGAATATTTCGCATACAAGTAGGTGTTGCAAATGTGATGCGGTAAGCTATTGTGTCTGTTAGATCGAATCCTTTACCATTCTTTTGAAAGACACCTCTTAAATCACCCGTTTCTTGTTGGGGAGCAGCAGCATCATTAGCAGCAGCAGAGGTATCATCTTCCGTAAGTTTGATTGACTGTAAAAAATGCAATGGGAATTGTTCCGAGTCTTTACGATTGGCTCTTACTTCCGCCACATGGTATCTTCTGTTCTCGGTGATGGTTAATTCCATATGTTCTAGGCGGACCCGTTTACGCTGTGGTTGTATAATCAACCTTAAAAAGAAGAGATCTCCCGAGGAAAGGACGGCACGTTCCACTACCATTTGAATATCAGCGGCGGGTAAATGTTTTTCATAGGTACGAGACAGGTCTTGCAACGAATTATTTGTGAGCAGTGAATCTGACATGTAAGCACGTAATACAAGGACTGGTTTTGATATATGCCAATTATTTAGGATCTGAATACCAGGTCCGATCACTCTCGCATCCACCATATGTCGCACTCGACCGTACACATCTTCAATTGTCTCCACAATAGACTAATATATAAATATGTTAGCATGTATTTGTAATTACTGAGAATAGATCACTTTACATTGGGCACAATAAATGCAAATGGAAAGCGGTGAATGCCAGAGGACAGCTTAATATAGTCGTTCTTTTTGGATTCCATGATTTGTACACTTTCTTCAGACAAGATCTTTTCATGTGTCAAACGTGTGCCACGTGCACCAATGCCTGTTCACATATTTGTTTACTTTTTTTTTTTTAATGTGCAATCAATGTTTACATAATCTTACCTTCAGGCCAATAGGTGGTGGCGGTTGATTTGAAAGTAACAGTGATACTAGTGATCCGAGTGGCTTTCGCTAAAGACAATACAACGCTTCCAGTAAACACTGACGAAGCGTCTTCAGTAGGTGGTCCACGTAAAATTAAAGGTTTAATGGGATCAAATGACAATCGCTCCTGGGACAGTAATCCTAAATGCATTGTTTTAAATTGAGGAGATAAAAAAAAAAAGAGGAGAGAGAGAGAGAAAATATATTATTTTATTATTGGAGTTAAATAGCCAACAAAAAAAAAAAAAAAAAAAAAAAAAATGTTTCAACGCTTGGGTTGGCTTATAAAAAAAGGGTCCAATCATTGCTTACGATATTAGTTCTAAAAAAGCCTTCCTCCTTTCTTTCCCTTCCCGATTTAGTCAGTTTTTTAGTGACAGGTTGATCATTTAAAACAAAGGAGAGAACAGAGAGTCACGTAAAGTCTATCTGTACAACTCCAAAGCCTATATAAAGAATCTCATCTTTTTTTTTTTTTTTTTTTTTTATCTCTTAACTTATTAGTCTTTTTTATTCAACACATAATGACTGTATTCAACACACTTTTAGAAGCCGTAGCTCATTGCGATAACTTCCCCTATGTTCTCGATCCCAAAAAAGAGGACGACGAAATGCATCGTGCCATTCCGTTTCTTTTGGGTGCACACACCATTGGTCATGTCTTACCCAGTGTTCTTGTGGCTCTGAAAGACTACAACCAAACCACACCAGTTTTCACTATTTCAGACAGCTCTGTTCAGTTTAACGAAACCGTACAGACCTCACAAGAACGTACCTTGGCTGTCAAGGCCCTGATGGATAGTTGGCGTCAAAACAAGACATTTGACGTTTTAGCAGGTTGGCGGGATGAGCTTTATCCAGTGTATGGTGATGAGAATGAGCCAGATAACATTGCATTTGTCATGGAACGAGCATCTGCTGCGCTTTTCGGTGTATCGACTTTTGGTGTTCATTTGAATGCCTATATCAGGAACGATCAAGGTGAAATCTTCATGTGGGTGGCCCGACGCGCACTTACCAAGCCTACTTGGCCTGGATTGTTGGACAACTGTGTAATAAACATGTTTCAGTTTTGTATACAAAAAAAAAAAAACCATGTTACTCATTTTCATACTTTAATATAGGTTGCAGGTGGTATCTCGTACAACTATTCGGTGAAAGAAACCATTGTGAAAGAATGTGAAGAAGAAGCTAGTATTCCATCTCATCTTGCTTCCCAGGCACGCAGTGTAAGTCTAATTACTTATTACACATGTTCTCCCGGTGCTTTACAACCTGAGACAGAGTATTTGTTTGACTTGGAATTACCTCAAGACTTTAAACCTATCCCACGCGATGGAGAAGCAGAGTGTTTCTATCTATGGCCTCTACAGAAAGTAAAAGAAACCATCTTGAATAACGAATGGAAACCCAATTGTGCTTTAGCTGCTATTGACTTTTTTATGCGTCATTCGTTTATTACACCGGATGATGAACCAGAGTACATTGATATCTCTTATCGTCTTCATAGAAGACTTGAATTTCCTACGCCTCGTAGAGGTTTAAACAGATAATCTGTTATTCCCCTCCCACACATGACTGGGGAACAATAATAAAAAAAAAAAACCGGTTTGTTTTACAAATGGTTAGTCTGGGAATTATTTTTATTTTACATAAAGATTTTTTTCATCTAAAGCTTGGATCCATTCTTTTTCTCAAGCACAACATAACCATTATTGATGACTACAACATCTCTCTCCTTGACCTTGGCTGCAAATATAACACCTTGAGTCTTGGGATCTTTGGTATCAACCTTCCACATATAGACTTCGACGGTTTCACCGGGGAAAACAGGGGAAGAAAAACGTCCTTCAATCGACTTGAAGCGCTTAGGATCATTACCTGCTAAAGCCTTAATGATCAAATGAGCACAGGCACCGTAACTACAGAGTCCGTGAAGAATAGGCTTGGGGAAACCAATGGTAGGTGCCAAATCCGTATCTGCATGAAGTGGGTTATAATCACCAGAAAGACGGTAGATTAAAGCTTGGTTGGGCGCAGACGCAAATACTTCAACAGCGTCAGGGTTACGCTGAGGAGGCTTGTAGGAAACTCCCTTGGGGCCTTTGGGTCCCTATACAAATATATAAAAAAGTTCAGTCACCCTTTCTCTCTCTCTCTCGTAAAACACATGAGATGTGCGTTTCACTTACGTCCCAACCACCGTAACCACGGACAAAGGACTTGGAAACCATGCTACAGTACTTGGTCTTTTCTTGCTCATCGTAAAGATCAACAGTTGTCTCGATGACCATGCCGGAACCTAAATGAGTGTTTAATATATTTAAAAGGGCAGGTTGAGGGTTATATTTTTTTTTTTTTTACCTTTGTCAAAGACACCGGTACATGTCTTTTTAGCAATAAAGGCACCACCATGGATAGGGAAAGGAGTAAAGACCTGCATGGATTGTTCACCGTGAACAATCTTGTTGGGGTCAAAATAAGGCATACCGGGATGTCCGCCCTTACCGTTGGCACGATCCTTAAAGAGGTTGACATCAACGTAGTCACCCTTGAGTAAAAGAGCAAGAGGGTATGTAGGTAAAGGAGTGAAATCCTTGTCTAAAAAAGAAAAAGAAAGAGATAAATGACCCTAACAATGTATTGCATAATTTTTTTTTTGTAGCTTTACTTAATTCATAAAGGTACTTTAATTCATCTTCCTTGACACCGACACCAAGTGCATATAAAAGGAAATCACGACGGTTACAGACAACTCGTTCGCTTTCAAATTGGTGACCAACGGCCTTTTCAATATCCACCTTGAATCCTTCAACTGGCATTTTTATTTATTTATTTTTAAAAAAAGAAAAAGATGAGAAAAGAAGAAAAAAAGTTGGAGTGGAGCTATTAATCTTTAAATTTTTATTTCTGCTGACGAATAGATTTTCGCACACCCCGCACTGCCCAAAAAGAAAGAGAAAAAAAAAAAAAAAAAAAAAAGAAAGAAAAAAAAAATGCTGTGTAACTATCAACAATGATCTACAATCAAGAGAGAATTAGCTATACGTAAGGCTTCTTTCGTAGCATTATCCATAGGCATATTATTATAATCCGTAGAAGACAACACAGACATATCATCCCACTCTTCTTCCTCTTCTGATTCCTCCACACTCGTCATCTCTTGCGTATATTCATCTTCATCAATAAGCTCATATAACAGCATATACGGGTTGGATCGCAAGACATCATCCAATGAACATTCATCCACTTTAGAATCAGATATTCTGTACCACGCATTTTGACATTTCCATTCTTCCAAACCCGACGCTTTCCCTCCCGTACAAGAGAAGCATTTGCACTGATCTGCATAGATCCTTCGTTTAAACGCAACAAAATGTCCAAAGCTGTGACTTCCATAATGCACCACCACGCTCATGAGACGATAAAAGCAATCCGACTTTTGTGTGGGTGTAGAAATGGGTAAATCTGGTTGAGTGTGTAATGTGCCATTGGTACTGAAAGGGGATACATCCAAGTATTCGGGGAAAAGCAGTTGACAGGTATTTTTATAAATAGCACCTGTATTTAAAAAAGCGGATCTGGAGATATGAAGACAGAGCACCTTGGGTGGTTTGGCCAGCATCACTTGTTTGGTACTTGATCGACTCACCGAATTTAATAAACGTAATCGATCTCCCTTATCCTCTTCTTCCTCTTCGATCCTACCGGTTTTTAATCGCGTCTCAATCTCTCGCTTTGCATCCTCTATTTTTTTTATCTGAATAATCGCTTCCAGCTTGTTCTTCTTTTTTTTCATCTCCTTTTTACATTCGCTGATCTGCGTTGTGAGTGATTTCACCGTGGTCTCAAATGAACAACGTCGACAGTTGGCATCTTCAAGATATTCAATATCTGTAAATTTCGCTAAACATTCAGCTAATGTTGCCGTGTACTAGATATAAAATGGAGGGGGGAACCGGTGTGTTATGTATATATAGCCAAAATCAAGGGCCGATTTATTTACCTTGTTGGGAACATTCAGTTGAATATTATTAAACGAGAAATGTCGAATCGCACTGGTATAACCACATTGCATACATGATAATCGATTTGCCAACAATCCAGTCAATGGATTCTCCACGTTTGTCGTGGTGGGTTTTTTCTTGATTTGCATCATCCCACTAGCCATACCAGATGATGTACCTAATAAATCTTTCAACCCACCTCCCAACGATTCGGTTTTGGCAATCTGCTGTCCTTCGGTTTCCATGGCACTAGACACCAGTTGAAAAAACTCTTGTGCATCCTGTTGTTCTCGACTGATGATGCGTCGGTTGGACGAAAGCGCTGCTACGATATCCACCGGTCGAAACGAACTTCGTCGATATAAGGGTTTTGTAATGGCTCTTAAGGTTTTTAATAAGGATCGGGTCACGGGTAACGGAACACCCGTTGATATATTACTGACATGTTCCAAATAAGTGTGTAAATGCGGTAAAGACGACATGGCCTGGAATATAGAACGTGTAAATAAATAAAAATAAATAAAAATGAAAAAAAGTCCAAGGATTCTACCTGCAACACCGAGTTCAAGAAACATGAATTGCCCGTATTCACAAGGCCAGAGACATGGGCTGATTCATCACTGGCTTCTACAGCCGATGCCAAACATATCACTGCACCTTTGGAAGACTTTGCCAACTCACTGTCTATTTGTAATCGTTAATCAAGGTATTGAGGGGTGGGGGAAAAAGAGCAGCTTTTGTTTTGTTTACCGTTGAGTTGTTTTGATAAGTTGTCGTAATAAGCTTGTGGTCTAATGTACATCATGAGTCGAGGAATTCCCAATTGACTACAAGTTTTTTCTAAAAATAAGGTGAAAGAATCGGGTGGTAAAGTGGCATCGTCTTCATCAAAAGAGCGATTTTTGAAGAAGAGCAAAGGTATAGAGATGACTCCCAAGATGGCAAATATAAATTGGACTAGATCATACGCTTCAATTAATATTGGTTGTATCTTGTCCAATGTCAAGTGCATTTAAAGTTTTTTTATGGTGAGAGAGAGTACAATACAAATTAAGCCCACATGAAAAAAAAAAAAAAAAAAAAAAAAAGATGGAGGAATTGGATATCCGCGTGTTGGGCTTGGGGGGAAGGGAGATCAATCAAACAATCAATACATTTAGGATTGCTTTGTTTAAATACACATTTAAGGCACATCATGTAATATGTCCTAACAAATAATAAAATTCGGATCATCTTTATTATTACGCACCTCACTTTTTATTATTATTTTCTTTGAAGCTACACCTTTGAATAGCAATCTTTCTAGACTACTTGGTAGTTAATAAGACAAAAAGAAAACAAGCAATTTAAGCGCAACCATATGCGAAGTCTTTTCCAAAAAAAAAAAGTAAATTCTCGTGTAATTATATGAGGCCAAGAATACGCTTAAAAGAAACGTCAAAAACTGGAATTTCAAAGAGAGACTTGCATGATTAGTGATGCCGCTCGACCAGTAAGACTTGGATTTGATCGGGTCTACTGTACTGGGTTTAACACCTTAATTTCCAGCACTTACCATCTTCCATAAACATGTAGACGGGACCTTGAATTTTTTTTTAAATGATGATTGAAGAGATGTGGTGTGCACATCATAAAAAGTCTACAGAAAGCTTCAAAACTTTGGTCATTGACAAAAGAGAATTCTATATATATATAAAAAAAAAAGAAAACAACCGCCGTATCATAAAGCCTTGTGTAGGTGCTATTAAATCCCCCACCTTTTTTTTTTACCAATAGGCTAGTTAACCTCCTATCAAAATTGCTTGTATTAAGAATGGAGCTTATATGCTTTCAATTGAGAGATCCCCCACACCTCAAGGACAGTTTAAGTTAATCAAACAAAACAGAGAAAAGGAAATAAACAAATTCTTCGTTCTTTATATAACAATTTACTTCTGTTGCCATTTTTCTATACTACACCCTTTAAGGAAACTTTTTACGTAAGTTACACTCTCGAGATTACCCCCTTTTGGCCCACACCCCCTTTATGTCCCCACCCATCAATCTCCAAAACAATTTGACATATATTTACAGTAGCCATACATTTCTATTTCCATCGGTAACCCCAATACTTTTTCAGCACCTTATTTTCTTATTTCTTGTCATCTTCATATCATCAAACCGAAACATACCTTTATTTCCTTGTATATTACACCCTTATCCACTATGCGTCGTAATCATCTCCCCTCTCGCGTTATAATTCTCATGTTATGCTTGATCTCGTATCCACCTTCTGCTTTTCTTTTCTTGACTTCGCTGTATTTTTGATCTCACTAATACTTTCTGACCCTGTCTCCCTTGCTCTCCTTTGTCCGATTACACCCATTGTACTTCTTGTTGCAAATAAATACCTCGTTGAGTGAAGATCGTGATTCAATTCTCTCATAATCCTCAATAAAATTTTATCATTATCTTCATCGTCTATAGACAGCCCACAGTAATTGCTTACAATTCCGAACTATCGTTTGGCGATCTTTTCCCAAAGGTGATGGTAACTATCATGAGAATTTGTTAACCGCCTGTTACAGTTATAAGTTTTCTGATCCCAAGATTAAGTTGCTGGCTTTATTATCACGCTGTTAATCCACCAGTCTGATTAATAGGCCAAACATAAATCAAAGTGAAGGCCAAATACCTGATAAACGGTGTATGTTTTTAACTTTGGGAAGCTAAAAGCGAATTTAGTAAGAAAAAAAAATAGCGAACCTCCATGCTTGTATAGTTCCTCTTTAACCTGGTTTCAAAGGTGGCATGACATTGGAAAGCTTCTTACACTTTTTCTTGCGAGATTGTGGGAGAATATGGGGAAAGAAAAATTAAATCAAAGAGGGGCGGTTTTTTTTGGTTTTGTTAGCGCTTGAATAGCCAAGTCACAACAGGGTATCAAATAATTTCACCAGCTTTTGCAAAACCTTTCTTGTCGCGTTAAGACACTTGACTGTCTTTCATAGAAACAAAAACTACGAACGTACACTAATGCTGTTCGTAAAAATAGCTGGTCCGCTCTCTTGGGATGATGGTCATTCCTTAGGTGTACAAAAATCGAAGGAAACGCAACGTTCAATTTCTAGCCCATAGCACTCCTTATGCTGTGGCCGATAAATACGCTTGTCCGGCCTGATGAAGTGAAGCGGTTTCAGCTACACCTCAGGTTATATATTCCACCTTTTCAGTATTTTGGAGAAAGTTCTAGGTGCTCATTTTTATTCATTAACCAAGAAGACATGCAACGAGCGTAAATTTAACAAAAGGCATGACCAGCAAGGGAAATAAACGCTCCAATACCTTTTCCGTTTCCATGGATAACACCGTTCATCAATTATCATGTGTTAAACAGACGTGATTTTTCCCTCTCTTTCATATTGAACCACCCCACTAAGCATGATGATTAGTGCTTAAAAGACAAATCGACACTGGATGAGCAGCTACAGAATAATGACATAATCAAAGCAAAGAAATATTTGAAGGAGTTCAATCTGGAGGAAGTTCCTGCGAAACGTTTGGTCGTAGTACCTCTACAACATATTTACACTTGAATTATGTGTGATCAACAGGCACATACACACTAGTAGGCTGTCAAGATACAAATTATTTGAGGTGAGTTCATTTTTGTGATACATGTAATTGTGATACTTATTCTTTTATGTAGCCGTCCTAATCAAAATTCTGTCTCAATCCTTGACATAATCCCAACAACATGACAGCTACCCATACATCGATTTATTACTAAAGCATACGTATGGCCGAAGTAGAACATTGAACTTTTATATATACACTCGTAGAAAATAGCATAAGTTTATTTTATCATGTTATCTGGAAGTTTATTTATCTCTTTAAAGATCACTTGGTGATTATGACCGATGGATTCCGTATTAATTCACCGTGATATAAGAACAATAACAATGGATCGCTCTTAATTTTGTGGATGGGGGGAAATGGAAAACATACTCGGGTATTTGGTGGTGAAGTAGTATATGAGAATCGTAAATGACACAACATAAAGGAGCTACAAGGATGTTAATAGTCAAAACTATCCAGTGTAAGCCAATTTGTGTGT